GTTACCTCGTACCGTTCCCGAATGCAGTACCGACCATTCGGTTTGGTACGGTTCGGTTCCTTCTCGGTATTTTTTCGGTTCGGTACTTTTCGGTTCGGTATTCTCGGTCTTTTCGGAAAATTTAGGTATCGGTTATGTACTTGCTCACCCCTAGACAAAGCTATTTGTATCTCAAATTTTTGTACCCCATTTGTACACCGCAGGTTTGCAATGATATTTTGTGTTGGTGTAAAACTAATTTTTATTAACGCACCAACACTTTGTGTCCGTGTAAAGTTTTGCTAATGCACCAACACTTGTTTCGATGTAAACCATCAAAATATGTGTGTATAACTGCGATATACAAATAAGGTATAATTTTTTGTGTAAGTGTAGCATGGTCTTTAAAGTAGTGTTCATTCACACTCCCTCCGTCCCAAATTATAATGTCTGTTTACTATTTACAGGGTCAAACTTCATTCACTTTCTTTCTCTATTTTCGGTAGCAATTTGATAAAATAAAATATTATTGCCACTACTAATTTTGTAGATCTTTTGATGTAGTTTTTTAATGTGTAATTTTTATTTTTTAATTCTATACCATTTGTCATATAAAATGGTTTGAAAATAATTTCAGTCAAACATCGTAAACTGAAACAGACGTTATAAATTGGGACGGAGGTAGTATTATTTATTCCCATTATTTATTTTAATAAATCATTTCAAAGTTCGCATCATAAAAAAATTCTTAATTTGGGTGTGTACACTGGTTCCCAATCAAAATTACACAAGTAGTCAACATATTAGATTTATCTCTATGAGATTTATTCAGATTATGATATTAGATATCAAAACATATTTCATTTCAACCCAAAGTCCAACAATAATTTATTTTAGTCAAAATAAATTTATTTAATTGAATAATAATAATAATTCAATAAAAATTTTAGGGTATGTTTTGAGGCATTAGACTAACATTTAAGGTTGACTGCTAGGAGGAGGTGGGAAGAGCTTCCGGTTGAGATCTGATGTGGAAAATTAGAGGAGGTCATCGCTGATTTGAAGAAAAAGAAGAAGAAGAGACTATAGACGATCCATAAACGGCCTCGTAATTTTACATGATGATAAACCTCGCATGCCATCCTCAACAACAGAGAAGCACCAATTACTCTGTATTGCAACCAAACAATTTCCCCATCTAATCTAAAATATAAAATTGTATTTTAAATATACAATTTTTTTAAATTCCACACTAATTTTTATACAAAATAAATTTAAAATAACTTCGGCCAAATATCGTAACTCGAACCGGGAAGAACCTAGAGTGACAGAGGGAGTACTATCCAATGCAAAGAGACTTCAGTCTCTCTTTCATACTTTTCCACGTCTGTATTTTAGTATTTCAGACTCTTCTTCCGACTTTCATAAAAATTACCCCAATTCTAAAACTCTTTCAGACTTTAATTTGTCACATCTATATTTCACTATCTTTTATTTTATGAACTTTAATTTTTATTCGATTAGTTATCTAATACTCCCTCCGTCCACAAATAAACTTCTCGTTCACTATTCACAGAGTCAAACTTTATTTACTTCGTTTGCCTATTTTCGTCACCCATTTGATAATAGATAGTCATGTCACCTCTAGTTTTGTAGATCTTTTGATATAGTTTTTTAATATGTAAATTTTATTTTTAAATTTTACACCATTTTTCATATAAAATGATTTGAAAATAATTTCAATCAAACATCATAACCCGCAACGGGAAGTTTATTTGTGGACGGAGGGAGTATATAATTGTGTAATACACTATCTTTTTTTACCAAATTTATTTAAAAATATAATTAACCATTAAGAAATTCAACAACACAAAGTTATATAGAAAATTATATAAAATTAACATACAAAATAAAATAAGTGCTTTTGATTAAAACAAATCAAGTAAAGACTCTTAAATAAAATTTAAAACACAACAAATTTAAGGATTACATAAGTAAAGATAATTGAAATTTAAAATGGCATGACATTTTCTCATTGTGTTTCTATGTTTTATTCCCAAAAAAATTTAAAATACTTCGTATAAAATTGCACAAAAGAATATGTTTTGCTCCTAAAAAATAAAATATAAAATTGTATAAAATAAAATATACAAAAAAAACATAACAATATAAAAATTATATGAGTAGGCATAATTGACGATTGATTTTTTACGGTTGGGTAGTATTGATTTTTTTACAACAAAATAATTATACTATTTTTTTTCAAAAAATAATTATTACTGATCATACGTATCTAATTTCTATTGAAAAAGTGGAGTTGAGAGTCTTAACAGTGAGTCAGGGAATTCAAATACTCAATTTCATACTTTCCTCATTTTCTGTTTATCTCAATGATAAAATCTGTAGAAGAGAGTGCTACTTTGTTCAGATTACCATTGGCGATGCTCTTAGCACCTTCTCACCTCTGCAACCCCAAACTTTTTTCGTATAAATCATTTGAAGGGTGTTTTACGTTGTGAATGAGAGTTGTATTAGAGATGTATCAATAAGAGCAACTCCAAAGCAGCTGTTAAATGCTTAAAAATTGCAACAATAGAGTTTGCTGTAGCAAATTTAGTCCTCCAACGGAAGCTCTATTTAACAACTCAATTTTAGCATTTGTCATTGGAACGGATTGAAATAAGGGCAAGGTTCCTGATAGGTGTATTCCACCCACGACCGGTCAAAGGAGAAGACCAATTAGTTGACCGGTCAATCTCGAAAGTCTTGGAAGGGAGACTTAAATCATCAGCAAATCAATATGTGATCGGCCCAAAGATGACCGGTATACTTCACGAAAAAGTATACCGGTCAAACTACTTTGTCACCCTATTTTTTCCTTGACTTCGATGATTTCATCCCTCGGAGATTACCCGGTGTAGTTTCTAGGGTTGAAAAGTGTCGGCAGAAGAGAATCTAAAAGGGCTTGGCGTGTAGCGACCCATGTTAGTGGAGGATAGCTCGAGATACTTGAGGAATCCATCCAAGACACTACTTGACAAAGGGAATAATTCCCCTCGCAAGGCGACAAGGCTGCTCGAGGACGAAACCAGTCACCTCGCACCACATCAGCAGCGTGCCCCCACGTGGGTGCACGTGGTCTTGTCCCCCTTAGCCTAGTATAAATACTCATGTAAACCTCAGAAAGAGGGATCCGAGTTCACTCTCTCTAAACTCCCTTGTAAAAGCACCCGTGCATTCTCCATTATAATATAAATTGGGCTACAGGTGTTCCACATAAAGTCCTACCGGTCAATCTGCGTGTTTTTACCTTTCTTACTTTGCCAAATCAAGCAAACTATACTAGACCCGATCTAGTATAGTTTGACCGGTCAAGTAATTTACATCATCAGTTCCCATGACATTTCATGACATTGGGAACCAATGTCATTGGATGACCCGGAGGCGCTCCGGTGCCCCGTTCGTAAAATTGACGGTTTCTATCACCCTAACCCCCCGATAAACCCCCCACCCTGCCCCGACCCGAACACACACCCCACCCCCTTCAATTGCATCCCACAAGTTGATTTTGACTTTGAAGTCAAATTTTGACTCCAAAGTCAAAATCAACTTGTGAAGTGAAAATTCGAAACCAGTAACCTTCATGGATGAGTTTTAATATTTATTTTCTTTGCAATTTCTTGAGACTAACCGATAAAACTCATCCATAAAGCTTATTGTTTCGAATTTGGGTTCCACTAGTTAGACAAATAATTGAGAGAAAAGTGGTGATTTTGATTTTGGATTCAAAGCTTCAAACTCAACGACAGATTTGAGAAATGAGTGCGAGGGGAGGGAGGAAGCTTAATTGAGGAGATAAAGGAGTGTGAATTTACAATTTTATCCACGTTCTTAACGGAAATGTTAACAAAGGACCATTCTTGTAAATGAATATAATAATTGGGGACTAAATTAGTAATATTTGATATGTAGGGATTAAATTAAATATGTAAAACGACATATAACTGAGGACCTTTTATAGAATTTACTCAAGTACAGAATATAGTGCAACTGTTGTTAAACTTGAATTTTCTAACATGTCTTTCTTCACTTAAGAAATGCAAGCTAAAGAATTCAAGTTTAACAACATGGTTTTAACTTACAATTTGAAAACAAATCTTTTTTTAGTTTGCTAGTACGGAATGTAGTGCAACTGTTGTTAAATTTGAATTTTCTAACATGTCTTTCTTCACTTAAGAAATGCTCCCTCACATGGTCTAATGTCCTGTTGTTAAACTTGAATTTTCTAACATGTCTTTCTTCACTTAACAAATGCAAGCTAAAGAATTCAAGTTTAAAAACGTGAGCTTTAACATCCAAGAAAGAAAAATCTTTTTTTAGTTCGCTTGTACGGAATGAGACAGAATTTAGTGAAATTATTGTTAAACTTGCATTTTTTTAACATGTCTTTATCTGTATCACAGTTACAATTTTTTGATAACTTTTCTTGTTTGTATATTTTGATTGATCATTTGATATAAAATAAAATACTTTTTCAATCCTTTTTTAATAAACTTTTAAGCAGTGTAATTTATACATTGTAATATTTATTTCTACATCAATTTGTAATTAAAATAATTTTAAAAATGATAAAATTTTACACGTTCTTTAGGGGTGATAAATATTATAGGACGTACAGCTCTTAAATTTGGAAATCAGACATTAAAGGGGCGTAAACCCCAACCACTCAAAACACTCTAATTTGATGAAGTAGAAATACGGAATATATTTTTGGAAAATTGAAGTATATATGGTTAATTTACTTTCGTCTATTGATTTTGTTCACCCTATATTTATAATCGATTTTCTAAAAAAAGCCCTTAATAGCACCTTTATTGGCAAAAATAGGAAAAATAATTGCGTATATAGTTGACTAAAATTAGAGTTTGTGCCAAAAATAGAAAATTGAGTAAAAGGCATACAATTTTTCCTTTTTGTTGAGCACAACTGGGCATGTTTTTCATTAATCATATATCACGAGGCAATGTCTTTTTCATATATTGTAGTCAAATGAGAAGAAAAAATGGTACAAAGATAACATTATTTTCACAAAGAATCACCAGTAAAGCAGTGAGGGGCAATTACATTGACCATGCTAGACCAGATACAAATTTCCTAGAAGAAAGCTAAGATTTGTGGAATGTCATCCCAGCAGTTACTAAAAGAATGAACTAGTGGTGGTAGTAGTAGTAGTGATGCAACAAATTTTTATGAGAGAGACATACAAGAATTATCAAGAAACACATTCAAGCTGGGCGTGAAGCCGAAGGATTCAATATTTTTCCATTATCTTTTTAAATAGTTCCTTTGGAGCTGAGTAGAATGAACAAAGACGAAAAGATATAATCAGGGTTTAGTAAAAACCATAGGCACAGCAACATTCCATAATAGTGTGTTTGGGGTGACTCCTTTTCATGGGTCAGGTGCTTATTAGAGAAAGAGAATGAGTTTTACTCTTGGAAATGTGAATTGCTTGGAAGGAAAAAATTTAAGTTAAAAAAAAGGCTCATAACAATTTTTAAAAAGGGCACTTTGAAAGCTTACCTTGAAAAAACAAGAGATTGGCACTTCTAAACAAACCTTAAAAAGTTATAAAATGAGAAATAACTCACTCTTAAAGCACCTGGACATTCAAGTTATCCCAAACAGACTATAAACATTTACCAAAAAACAGGCTCTAAATTGGCTTACCAGGCAATCCTGTGAACTTTTCGTATTGTTCATATGCTTGCCCAATGAACATTTCTACACCGGTTACAATTTTTGACCCACATTCTTCAGCTTCTCTTAATAATCTAGTTATCTTTGGTGTATAGACAGCATCAAACACAAGTGAATAGTATTGCAAGGCTTCCTACAAATCAATAAGATGGATGCAGAGTGGAGTGCCAAACATGTCATAAATTTGAAAATTTATAGATACCATACACATCCAAATTGTAAGTCTTTGATCTGAAATTGTCCAAGACAAACCTTAGCAACTGGGGTCTCGTCAACTTTTGGTTGCATTCCAATGGAGGTGGTGTTTGCTAGAATCATGTCTTTTTCCGGATGGAAATTACTAAGCTCGGCAAAAGACAAAGCCTGTCCTCCAATTACATCTGCCACCTCTTTGGCTCGAGCTTCAAACAAGGCAATAATAATATATGTTATCAAATTACAGAACTAGTGAACAATAATAAACTCTGGCTAGAGTCTAACGAAAACATAGGTGAGATAGTTTCAAAGACCAATCCGTGAGACATATCAGTCCTCGAGTAAAAAAGACGCGCCTCATCTGGCCATCCCTGAGGGCTCTCTAGAACCAGCTTGCTTTTTAGCTAAAAACTATCACGAAGAGCATTTTGAGTATGTTTTGAAAAGAGATGGTTTTTAGCCTAAAAGTGTAAGTTATTGGAAGACAAGTGACATATCTTACAGAAAGTGGGGTTCATGAGACAGTCTCACCCTAGTGTTACTACCAGAAGCTAGCCATGAATCCGTGGCTAGAGATTGACTTTTAATACTAAGCAATGAATGATGTCATTGTTGCACAATGGTGATATTTAATACATTCTGGAATAACATGATTGTAAACTTCAGTCGCAAAAAATCTTTGGAATATTTCAGTCAGTTAGCACCACTCATTTATGAACATTCACAATAAACTAGTACTCGCTTCGACTATGCTTGACACTATTTCCTATTTTGGGCTATCCAAAATGCTTTCCCCATACAATATCTCATCATATTCGCGTGACTCAAAATATTCAATATCGACCACACAAATCCATTTTTCCTTAATCCACGTGTCACTTTGGCTAGTACTATACGTAATGGGACAGACGGTGTAATATTATTGGGATACTAGTGTATAGGAATAGTATTAACAAAAATGAAAAAAATAACAATAAGTTCAAGTCCAGTCCAGACAACATTTGATGAGCAGAATACTTATTTTGCACCCTAATTGTCATCCAAGTGCTGGGCGTTAAAACATGTATAATTTTAACTAAAATAGATTAGAATCTAACCATATGTACGGTTAGCTATAACCACCCTAGCTCCTTTTTCTTTTGCACCATATGCTAGTGCTTTTCCAGCACCACCAGCACCAATTACCACAAATAATTTTCCAGCCAATGGTGAACTGGCAAGTGGAGCACAATGCGAACCTGAAAAGATGTTCAGAAGCTCTAAGATATATACAGGACCTCATAATTTCAGATTGGTAGATGATGATAAACCTCGCAGGCCATCCTCAATAGCAGAGATAGCACCAACATAATCTGTATTGCAACCAAACAACTTCCCATCTGTATTTCTCCTTATTATGCAATTTACAGCCCCTATTGACTGAAGGGCATTCAAGAACATATAAATTGAATGCAACACAATACATGGTCAGCACCATTGGGGGGATGTTTTTTCATTAATATTAGTTACCTTGGCAATTGGATCCACATCATCACAAATTTCAAGCGCAGCCTCCTTGTGAGGAATAGTGCAACTGGTAAAAATGCAAAGCTGCATTACTAATTACTGTAAAAAAAAGTTAAAAACTTTCCACTTTGGTCCTACAACTATTAGGTTGTTCCCGAATTTCATATTTTTACTTTTGGTGCATGACTCTGAATATCTTGCCACCTTTGATCATTTCAAATTATATCAACAATTCCAATGATTTTTTCCGGATAGGTGATGGCCAAAAGTTCCAAGAAATTCAGTCATTAGCAAAATGAAACTCGAAGACCAAAAGTCGGAATGTCCTAATACTTGTGTAACCTCATAAGTGGAAAAACTTGTTACTATAAAAGCTTGTATATGAAAATCTAGCATGCATATTCTATTCGTGAACCTGAAACCAGCAAAATCCAACGATGAATATGTGTGGAAGAAAGTGGCAACATCATCTACCAGTAAATGCACAAAGACCCCATTGAACCCGGCTGATTTGAAAGCTTCATTGTACAGTAAAGGCGATTTGCTATGGCTAACAGGATTCCCAATAATGCCAAATATCCTTGTGTCTGGTCCTAACTGCCTGAAATTGTACAAATCCAAAAGATCCTGAATAGTTGGCTGCCCAGGAGCTGATACTTTTCCAGCTTCCAGAGTACCAAAAGTGAGATAGGCACCAAATTTCGGGCAAAGTATGCGAGACATCAAACCCTTCTCTCCCATGACCATGGCTATTATTGGTACCTGAGAATATTCTAGATTGTGTAAACCATTATTGAAGAAAAAAATCTCAAATGGAAAGGGTAGAGTATAGAAGTGCATACACAGCACGATGAGGAAATTTATCTTGACTCCTTCCATGCCAAAGTATTTTTCATTTTAGCCATAAAAATCAGTCCCAAAATATTTGTTGTTTTAGGAATTCAACACATATATTCCCACATTTTTCCTCATTTATCATTATTTAATCTAGAGAGTTAACACATTTGTAATTGCAAGGAGAGTATTTGAAACAAGAGCTTCTATTGCATTACACAACAACAACAACCCAGTTAAATCCCACAAGAGTAGGGTCTGGGAAGGGTGTGTGTACGCAGACCTTGCCCCTACTCGAAAGTAGAGAGGCTGTTTCCAAAGAGACCCCCGGCTCAACGTCAAAAGTTGCATTGCTTGACTAACTGCTACTTCATTAATTAAAGAAGTGCAGACAGTTTAGAGATCCATTTTGATTTATTCCATCACACCCCAAAGCCAAAAAATGGTGAAATTTTTCCGTACCTTGAGAAAAAATCAGAATGTGAGAGAAAAAAGAATGTCCTAATTTTTTTTAATGAAAAGGAGAATCATAAAACTATAAATAAAGGCAAATGTCTCTATATGTGATCCCTTAATTTCTGTTAAATTTATTAAAACAAAAAACTATTTTGGGCCAGAGGGTGTATATTTTAGCACATGAAGATGGAGACTAGCTGATTGTCATCGAATAAACCACTTTAGAACATATGAAAAAGGAAAATGGACAATAAACTCAAAGTTTCTTTTGGACATCGAGACCAAGGGTCCAAGAAACATGCCATTACTTTCGCCGCTTACTTGAGAGTGTACAGTGATTTCAAAGATACGGGCTACATCAGTAATATCCAATGCAGTGGTTGCAATTTTCACGATGTCAGCTCCTGATGCTTGTATCCTCGCTACAAGATCTCCAAGCTCCTCAACCGATGGTGTGTTATGATAATTGTGAGATGAAACAATTACTTGGCAGTTTCCATGGTTGTTCCCAGGAAGACAACTGTTAAACTTGTGAATAGCCTTCAGTAAAAAAAATTGATGAAATTTAATGACTGGCATGCAAGAGAGAAAATCTTCAAAACGTATGATATCTTACTGGAAACAATAAAGTGTGCATGTTACTTTCACCAATTATTTGAAAAAGTTCTATCGATGCCTGAGAGATAGGTTAGCCCATAGTCACAGAATTCGCTCCCAAAGCCGCGACTTCCGTATTGGTACGATTCGTACCCAATCGCAAGTCGCTTGCGATCCGATCGCAACCGGTACGGCGATCCAAATTGCGATGGTACGGCGATCCCAATTGCGATGGTACGGCGATCCAAATACCTAGGTACGTCGCACCCATCGCCGGCGGTACAACGTACCGGTGGCGACTTCCTCGACTTCTTCTTCCCAGCAAAGCAACATCGACTTCCTCTTCCCAGTTTGCCTCTTTCCCTTTTTGACGATTTCTCTTTCCCAAGTCTTCGTAAATTGAGTATGTTCTATTTCCCAGGCACATTCTACCTTCCCAATTAAATATTTCTCTTTCCCATTCTCATCATTTAATATTTAATTTAAAATTCAATTCACAATTAAGTATTATACTTATTTTTATCTATTTTTGTTTACTTATGTTTTGACTTTTGGTACGCCGAATCGAATACATGGTACACCGTACCACTTCGTACCGCTTCGTACCCAAATGAACCTACCCCCCTTCGTACCGAATTCGTTAGCTCTAGCGAATTCCGTACCCGTACCGCGTACCCGTACCGAAACGTACCGCGATTTATGTGACTATGGGTTAGCCATCAAAATTACTACCAACTTAGGACCTCATTGATTGAAACTTCCAATATAGGTCACAAAAGGTCTAAACTTTGATTTTTTTTCCTATTGGTTATTTTATGGTTTTATAAAATTGCATAAATAATGTATCTAGAAATTAGCATAAACTGAGTTTATTTTACTTTTGGTCCCATAGTTTCAATCATCAAGTCCGAAATTTAATGTTTTAATCTTTCAGGTCCCGAATTGATATCTAACTCATCTTTTTGGGTCCTTAATTGCAAAAAAAAATCCAAATAGCTAAATAAAAAGAAATGCAAAAGTGTTCTCATATGAGAACCTCTATAAGAAAATCAAAGCCTTTTGACTTGTACACTAATACAAATTTATTCCCTTGCATTTCCACTACGGCAAAAGCATAAATACATTTTCAAGATACAAAACAGCCAATATGCAGGAGTAGTTGTACGAATATTAGGATACCTTGAGCTCAACATCTATATAGTCAGCTCCGAGCTCTATTGCCAAGCGAAGTGCATCCAGACGGCTATTTTCATCCCCGTTATACATACCACCTTCCCATGTCGGCCTGCACGAGTGCTTATTACAGAAGTTTTACACAATTGTTATGCCATTTGGACAAAAAAGGATATACAGAGAACTAATGGCTTCTCCACTTCAACAAGCAGGAAACACCATCCAGCTTTCCCACTTCAATTTTTAATGTCTGTCAAATTATATTTCTTTGTTCACAATCGATTGTCTACCAAACAAAATGCCATACGCAACACCAAACTATGTTAGGCTTGTGAAAGACTAAACTTGCCCGATCACCATTTCACTTTATATATTTCTTTTGTAGTTTCTTTTAACTTTCTCAGTAAAACACAAAAGAGTTGAGGTCACAGGATATCATATATTATTCGCTCCATCCCCCCCCCCCCGTTCCAAAGTCAGCTTATATGGATCTGGTTAATATACTTTCGAGTTGGTTCGGGTTTGTTTTTTTAGTTGATCCATTCGGGTCGGGTGACTTTTGTCAGGTCTACTTTTAAGAGTTCTACTGTCTAGTGAATTTTGATTTGGCACTGACCACATTGATAAAAAGGACAAGTGCTTAAGTAGGGGCCTAGGGAGACCACTGTCAAGTCAATATCTACTATGAAGGATGAACAAATATTAATTGTATGTTTTCATATATCAGCGAGATCATTTCACTTGAAGGTTCAATACCTCTTTTCCTTCTTCCCCATATTTCTTAAAGGATTGCTTTTTGTACCTATCCCAACATTCTTCCATTGAAGACCAAAAATGAGTCTGGAAATGGAATTGTTGTGGCTTGTTTTGCAGCTTTTGCCAAGATAATTTTTTATCCAAAAACTTGTTGCGTAAAATTGTATTTGCATTTAACAAAGAGATGTTACATAGCCCTCATCCTAATCCTGTGCCTAACAAGATTTGGAAGTGATGCAAAGATCTGTTTGGCACATTCAATCCCCAACCCTACCATAAAAAATTATAAACACCAATCATTTCAAGAACTAGAAAAGAAGCATTCACAATAACCCATAGAGCTCAAAAACTGCCAACATAGTGAACTTGATTAGCAATCATACACTGAACTCAAAAAAATGGAAAGAGCTCATTTTTAAATTGAAAAGCTCTGGTTAAGAGCAAGAGAAAGTATAGTCCTAAGTCAGCTTATATGGATCAGTTAAAGGAACTAAACAAGCAGTGGAGTAAGATAACCTGGCATAGAGGGAAGATTGATAACCTTTTGTTCTTTGAGGGGCTGTGTCTAGCACTGTTTGTATGTTAGCTTGATGTAATCCTTTTCTCCTCTTTGGAGGAGCTTGATTAATGAGATATAATCCCTTGGTTAAGTTGCTTTGGTCCAAACACATAGTGTAAAAGAACTTTTGTAGATGGCCAATATAGTATCCTCAGCCACTAAACTATGAATCCATTTTGGTTTCTTAAGTGTTCTTTACCCCATAGTTATCTACCGAAATATCATGTAATATCACTTTTAGAAGTTTCACTGTTATCCAACTGATAGCCACTCAAACTCTGATCTGGTAAACTATTTTATCCAAAATTGGTTAAATAGGGTTAGATGATGCACCAAAAGTTGTCTTGGTAAAAAGTGTTTGCATTTAACCCGCGACGTTCATGAATATCTCATTAGTAATACCAAACTGGCCCCAAAATCTTGTTAAGCAATGGGTTTTCATTTTGTTTGCCGTCTTTTCTAACACAACCTTCATCATTTTGTGGCACACGGGTAAAAAGGAAAATCTCAATAGCCATGCCCCGGAACATCAAAGAGAAAATAAAAAGTTAAACCATCTACTCCATTCGATGATTCGATGTTTAGTACATTTACGCCCAATTGTCTTATGTCCAGACTCCTGGTTGACTTACTCCAACTCAACCCTAAATTCTATAACAGCCATTCAAATTAAGATTGCAGGTGCATAGTCAAGGCAGCAGAAATATTCCAAAGACGAAGAAAAAAACCTGTAAGTGAACAGAGTAGGCAATGGAGAGTGTTGAATCAGAGTGGAGAGGTCTGGAAGAGGACTGAAGCTCTTCAAGCTATCCAATCGGACTTCAACTAGATCGGCTTGACTTGATTTCGCCCTACCCATCAGATCCATCATCTGATCCACAGTGTCCGCCATTATCGGAGCACAAATGAGTGTCGAGTTCTTCCTCGCCCCATCCATCTTCTTCGCCGCCCCAGAATCCAAAACCTTCAGCAAAAAAAAAAACCCACCGAAACTCATTNAACTTAGGCAAATGCGAATACAGCTTCAAAAAAAATCACAAAAAAATGGGGGGAAATGGACCATTTTAAATTCCTTTGTCCCCATCATCCCAGCTCAACAGACAACAAACAAATACTTCAACGATTTAATTTAAATAAAAGAAGAATCAAAAGAAAGAGAAGAAGAAGAATAGGTAGCTGGAAACGTACCAAGTCCATTCCGGGAACCGGAGACTGGTTTTGGGCGGGCGGAGGTAATTTATAGTGGAACAAGGTGGGTGGGAAAGGAGAGTTTGGGTGGGTGGGGAGAATGGGAAGATGAGCATGGGGTTGGTAGAGAGACAGAGATTATTTGGACTTTGTACTCTCTCTTAAAACATTTTCTAGTTGTTGTTTATGAGATTTGATTCAAATTATTTGATTGCAGACTTGCACTTATAATAAAAAATAAAATTAAAATATTTAAAAATTACATAAAAAAATTTACAAAATAAGATGTAACAAGACTATATTATTATTTTATTAAAGGCCCATTTGAGAAAAACGTTTTCAATTATAGTTAAAATTTTGGATAAAATTTTAAAGGTGCAGACTAATTTTAAAAGTACTAACGCTAAATACTGCTCATAGATAGTCTTTTCAAAGTGTTAACGCTAATCACTAATGCTATACCAAATAGATCCCAAATGACTAACAAAAATAAGTAAAAAAATGGTTAAAAATTTAAAATTTAATTGAGAAAAATATTTTAAGACGGAGAGAGTACTTGCATTTTAAAAAAAATTTATAAACGTACACTAAATCTGACGTAAAGAACTCAATGATGCAACATTTATAGAAATTTAAGAACCATTGATTTTTTTAAAGAATTCAAGGGTAAATGCAAAAAAAAATAAGTTACGGAAGAAAATCTTTTGAGGATTACTACTCTAGCGAATAGGAATACTACTAATGAATATTCCATAGGTCCATATAGTAATCCGAGAAAAGTTGAATTAAACTACTCTATTTGTCTTCAAAAAATGACATTTTATGCAAAATAAAATAAAATCTTAAAATTTTTAAAAAACACATCAAAAAAATTTTAAAAAACACATCAAAAACACTTTATTTAAAGATTAGTAAAGAAACAAGTCATAAAACTTACTCCGTCCGTCCCAAGTTATAATGTCTGTTTACTATTCACGGGGTCAAACTTTATTCACTTTCTTTCTCTATTTTCATTAGCAATTTGATAAAATAAAATATTATTGTCACTACTAGTTTTGTAAATCTTTTAATGTAGTTTTTTAATACTCCCTCCGTCCCAAATTATAATGCATGTTTACTATTCACAGGGTCAAACTTTATTCACTTTCTTTCTCTATTTTCGTTAGCAATTTGATAAAATAAAATATTATTGTCACTACTAGTTTTGTAGATTTTTTGATGTAGTTTTTTTAATATGTAATTTTTATTTTTTAATTCTATACCATTTGTCATATAAAATGGTTTGAAAATAATTTCAGTCAAACATCGTAAACCGAAACAGGCGTTATAAAATGAGACGGAGGTAGTATATAATTTTTATTTTTTAATTCTATACCATTTGTCATATAAAATGGTTTGAAAATAATTTCAGTCAAACATCATAAACAGAAACAGGCGTTATAAAATGGGACGGAGGTAGTACATACTTTAAAAACACATCAAAAATTATACCCCTACAAAATAAGAGGTAACAAAAACATTTTATTTCATCATATAATCAATAAAAACACACAAGTAAATAAAAAATTGCATGACTTTTGAGAAAGTTAACAATATAAACCTTTGTAAGAAAGAGAGTATAATTTATCTCCACTAAGTGCAAAAACTTCATGTTTACCATAGTTATCCTTTTTTGAGGAAATAATAACAATATGTTTCACCTATTGTTGAAATAAAATTCAAAAAAGAGTCGTGTAGAAAACGAACTACTGACTTATTGTCTTGAAAGTGTTGACAAGCAAAAAAAAGAAGGTAGATAAAAAAACAGTCACAAGTTTCTATAGAGAGACTCTACATAACGAGTACTCGAGTTTATGAACCCACCCCAACATAAAAGCTGAAGAAAGGCATCAAATTGAAAGAAAGGAAAAAAAACAGAGATACAAGTGAACAACAATTCCTTTCATTCCGACTTCACTTCCGCCATTCTTCTTTTCCTTCATTCGGACGCACCCAGGCCAATGATACCTGCACAAAGAAGTTGTTTTAGAGCGTTGAACGCCGGCCGTGTGCACTGCAGAACATCATCACTTCATCTCCGATGGAGCCAAAATTTCACTATTTTTTGGCTTTGGGGTGTGATGGAATAAATCAAAATGGATCTCTAAACTGTCTGCGCTTCTTTAATTAATGAAGTAGCAGTTAGTCAAGCAATGCAACTTTCGACGTTGAACCGGGGGTCTCTTTGGAAACAGCCTCTCTACTTTCGAGTAGGGGCAAGGTCTGCGTACACACACCCTCCCCATACCCTACTCTTCCTACTCTTGTGGGATTTAACTGGGTTGTTGTTGTTGTTCTTAGGCTAGTGTGCAATGGGGAAAATGATAGTAAAAGGGAAGGGAAATAGTTTTTCTTCTCTATATGTTCTGTTTTTTTTCTTGGGAAATATGAGGAAAACAAAAAGATGTCAAATTGGATTTGACATGAACATTTGTATTTCATAGGGATTACTCATTTACTCCCTCTATCCCCAAAAAGATGTGCCTAGACTTTTTCTTGGTCCAATTTTACAAACTTCGACTAAAATTTGTGAGAAAAATAAATTTAGTTGCAATGTGAAAATACTGCCATTGTATTCATTTGGAAACATAGTTTTAAATTTTCATATTTGTAAAAGGTTTAGTTATGTACAAAAATAGTTATTGATAGTTAAAAGTGTTGTATCAACGACTGAAAGGATGCATCTTTTTTGGGATACATGGAGCTTATAATAGAAACACATGAACAAAATTGAGTTTGAGAAAATATTCCAAGTATCTAAATTTGATTTACTTTTACTAAGTTCTTATCAAATTTAATGTGTACCCAGATTTTCTTTCCTTGCAAATTTTCCCTTTATTTTCCTCGCTGTTTTCTTTCTTTAGCAGTTTCACATTTTCCAAGTTCTATACAGTACTTTAACTAGACTTGGAAAACTTTACCTCGTGTGTATGCATACTCCATGATAGACAAATCAATTATTCAAGGAACAAAACATAGACACCAACATAATGACCTAATAATGACCCAATTTCGAAAGATATTAATATAGCATAAAAGTTAAGGGATATACTTACCACACGCAACCCTCCCGCCAGCATTTCCAGTTGATTTGCTGAGCTCATGGCCACCTAAGTAGAGCAGCAAGAGTATACGTATTACAGGCACAGAAAGCACATGTGATATAATGAACAAAGAATGGAATCTTTCACTTGGGGTGGGGTGGGGTGGGGGTGGGGACAAACTGATAGAAAGCAAAATATATAACGCTCTGTTTGGTAGGCAAAAGTGTCTTGTTCTTATTCTCTTTGTCACTAAAAGTAGTTTTGGTTGCAGTTTACGATGTTTGAGTAAAATTATGGTGAATTCTTTTGTAATTGTTATAGAACTAGAAAAATGTATATAAAATGTATACATTTAAAAACTAAAGCAAAAGTTCTACAAAACACAAGGTAAAACTTTAAGGAAAGAAGATGCAGTTTGACCCAATGAAAATGACCATGAGGTTCTTTTAGGGACGGAGGTAGCATAAGAAGAATATACAAAATGCACAATGAGTAGTGGTGCACTTATTCCATTGAAATGGATGCTATCAAACCCTTGAAATACAGTGTCTTGAAATAGGGGGGAGGGGGGGTAAAAAAACAGAAGTATATTAAAGCTCTGTTTGGTATCCAAAAGTGGTTATTCTGCTTAGGGTAGGATAAGTAGATTTACATTTATTTGGCTGAGATGGATACTATTATGTTACCATGCTTTTTTCTTTTAAAAATTAGTAGATCCAATCATTTTAATTTTTTAACTAAGAAACAGTTTCCTTTAATATTTGAAGCAAAATAAAGATTATAAGTATTAAATTTCATATTTACAAATGAAAACAGAAATTACATTGCAAAACAAAGCAAATCATAATATATTAAAAAAGGCACTCTGAGTGTTGGAGAACTTCACCTTTCCCAAGATCATCAGGATCAGCATGAACTACTACAGCTCTTCCAATGATAGAATTTGGTCCAGTGAGAGGAATCTTCAGAGGTTAACAGAAATATAACATTATGAGATATGCCAAAAATGGAAAAAGTGAAACATGTTTCATTTTGTGTAAATCTAAACGCAGCTAAATATGGTGATTCACCTGACTGTCAGTGATGGTAAAACAAGCAGTACCTGAAACATTTTGATGTATAAGTGTCAGAACTCAGAACAGAAGTACAAATCGTGGAAAGCATAGAAAATTTCAATGCACTGAAACAAATGCATAGTAATTCCCCAGGAATTATAATAACAGGCCACTTCATTTAAAGAACTTTAAGGTGAATGAGATCATATTAAATGTAGGCTGAACTTTTTATTATAAAAAGTCATAGTACACAGAAATGCAGCACACCAGTGTGTCAAAAACTCAAGAAACAGTGAAACAAAGAAAAGAGCAAATGAGACCCATACCCAAATACTTCTATAGTGCAAAGAAATGGAGAGAATTTTTTCCCTTTTGTGATCATCTGTATCACTTCTCTAACATTTCAAAGCAGAATGTTATGGGTATTATACTGTCTTCGTCTTGTATATCTTTTAACGTGACATACATTTCTGTACTTACTTTTAACTCCCATTTCTCTCATAGATACACACCAAATACATAAATCCACTCTTTTTCTCAACTTTCTTTCTTGACACATTTTATCCTTTATTTCTCTCTTCACTATATATTCTATTAACCATAACAAAGCCTTGGAGATAACATACACCGAACAAGTATGCTATAACTTCTAGTCACAAGGGTTGTTCCTCTTATCAAGTTGCTATACAGCATTCCAGACTAAAAGATATATCAACAATTGAATAAATAAATCTCACCATCTTGTCCAACTGTGATGTTTCCAAGATCACCAGCATGGCGGATTTCATCATCAGGAGCCCCATGATGATTCCCCTTTGGATTGAAATGTGGTCCTGCACATTTATATGATTTGAAGCATTATACAAGAAGCAGGTGAACTCAAAGAATAATCAGGTAACTAATTAAGTAATGGACAAAAAAGAGGAAACAAGTACTCCCTCCATCGCTATTTATCTGCCTAGTTTGATCAAATCACACAGTTTAAGAAAATGAAATGGATTGAAAATTAATCAAACCTTTTAAAATTTTTCTAAAATGCCCTTAAACAAGTTAATCTCGCATTTATGTTACTCTTGGAAAACAGTAGCTTAAATAGCATTAATTGGGAACATAATTAACACAGAAACTTTATAAATGAACAGCTAAAACAAACAAACAAGAAAAATTGGTCAAACTAGACTATAAAAGGGAGTAATGATTTCAGTAATAGTGAAAAAATGGTTGATTCAATTACCTGTGGACAAACAGCCATTTGTTGTGTCACCAAGAGCATGGACATGGAAGCCATGAAGACCAGGTTTAAGGCCAGTTACATTTCCAGTAACTGTAGTTGGACCTGAGACAAAGAGAACCCTTCAAGAGTTCATCAAATGAACACGCGGTTGCTCTAAGTTAAAAATAATATTAAAACAAAGAGTACCATCTCCAACATGGGTGAATTGAATGGTGCCAGTGACACCTTCACTGCTGTTAAGAACTGCTACAGCCTTCACCGTGTTTGCCATTTTTGTTTGTTATTTGTGATCTAGACAATTAAAGAAACAATAGTATATTACCAATTTAACATGAATCCAGAGCCACATATAACCGTAGGCAGATAATAAAGCTCCACAGATAAGATGATACAGCCAGGCAAGTAAAACCAACAAACCATTCATCTGAACTCTAAATCAAACAACACCAAAACCAGTGCATTTCTGACATATATTTGAAACCATGAAACAGATGTAAGTGCAAACCCAGAACTCCACAGTCCCAATTCCAAAGATAATATTGACCACATAAATCCCAATTCAAAGGCATTTAATCATCAAAGAGGCATTCTTTATTTGTCATCCAAATGTACCATAGAGGTTGATACCGCCTCTTTGTAACATATACCCCGTATATAATTGGGGCAAATGAGGGGTGGCTAGTTGCTCATCAGGACAAACGAAAAACATAAGGTGTGCTACTCATTGCTTATTTCTCATCAAATTCCATTGTTCAGCCATCAACCCCAATCATGTCAAAGAACCTTTACATATCTAAAAGATTTACCAGGCAATCACTTTGACTTTTTGAGTCCCATGTCAACTTTTATTGTCGTCTAAAGGAAATGAGGAATTGGCTGCTTTAAAGGAAGAAGGTGAAAAAAAGGTTGATAAATTGTACTCCGGTACGAGGTTAGAGTATGCGAGTTTAAATCCACAATGGTCAAAACATTTCCAAGGGGTTATGAATTGATTGATTGATTGAAGGCATAATAATCTAAAAGTTGAGTTTGTAGCTTCAATTCATATCTGTTTGGAAATGTTTGACTATTGAAAATTTTCACTCAGGGGCTCTAGCCTCCTTTTCATGTAAATTTTCAAGCTTCTCTTCACCATCTCCTTCTGGTGAACCAACCAACCAATTCCTCCGGGATCTTTTCATGGAAATTATAAAGGTTGACGTAGGATTGAAATCATTAACTCAGTCACATAGTTATATACGTTGAGAAACAAGGTTGGGCAGATATGAAACGGTTCTTAGACGTTGTTAGGGTTGATGGGTGAACGAGAGAATTCCCATGAGAAACAAGAAATGATTAGCACACGAATCAGTAGGTAATGTCACAGAGCGGCTGGTAAAGATGATATAAAGAAAGTCAACTGCATAAATCTCAAATCAGTAAGGGAATATCTCTTGGAATAATATGCAACTTAGCACGAAAAAACGAATGAAAAAGCTCCCCGCAATCACAAACAAACGCTTCATTTCTCAATCGTATTTCCAAGCAATGAAAACTCGAAACAATACACAGACGACTGATTATCACTTGATCAGCCCGATCAGACGGCCTAATAGGGGACAGAGAACAAATAAACGCACAAAGGAAACCCCTAATAGTACAAATTGGCTGCGAATTCACAGATCAAACCTCTTACGGATCGATCGAAATGGATTATCGACTATTCCACGGGAGCGAAAGAACAACATAAAAATCGAAATCGATCGATCCCAACGCGTTACAACACACAAACAATCACATCGACGATCAGATTCAATTGGAAAATGCTAGAAACGTTTTACCTCAGAACACCCCTGTGGATAGACTGAATGAGAAGGTATACAGTGAGTCAACTCGCGCAATCCAAAAGACTGGTTATATGTATGTGTAAGAAGGGTGGGGGTTTCAGTTTTCTAGTAAGTTCGCTGCCGGGCAGGTGGTAGGTGGGTGGCGGGCAGAAGTGACACGTGTTGGGTTGCGGATGAATCATTTTTAGAGTATGATTGGACAAAAAAGAAGTTCTCAAAATAGTATTGAATCCTCCGTAATTATTTATTTTCTTAAATTAGTTATTAAAATAAATTAATTATTGAGATGGTACTTGTTTATTGAAAATAATGTTCAATTTAGTCTCCTCATCTAATCGCCATTAAAATAGAATTAAAACGACATTAAAATTTACTTATTTTCTAAAACGGTCATTTCTAATCAAATTTTTTTTCTAAATTAGTCAATTTTTGAAATAAAATCTTATAAAAATTGTCTCTCATCTTCGCTCAAACACCGTGAATCAATTAAAAGGGAAAAATCTTACTTCGGTTTCATATTATATGATTTTTTTTCATCGAAAATAGACTAATTTGAAAAAAATCTAATTCTATATGATCAATTTGGAAAATTTGTATATATTTTAATGTCGTTTTGACACTGTTTTGACGACCGTTAGTCAGGAGACTAGACAGTGCATTATTTTCAATTAGCAATAAATAACTCATTTTGGAAACTAATTTAGAAAAACACATAGTTATTTCTTGTGTACCATTTTAAAGATTTACTCAACAAAAAAATAAGGTTTCGTATTGGACTTTTATTTGGATGACAATAAATTCCATTATCTATCATCTACTCCTTTTCACTAAATGAATTATATTCTCCTTTTAACATTTAAAATCTTATGATTTTTAAAATTTTTATTTACAAATTGATATAAAAATTAATAATAAAAATTACTCCATATATTTAAAAATTTAATAAAAAAAAGTCTACAATACAAAAGATCCGAAAATATTTTATTTTATCAAATGAACAATGAAAACACTCAGACAAACAAAGTTATCGATTGTCCGTAATAGTAAAGAAATAAACCATTTTGGGTATATTACTATTTCTTTTATTATTACTATTATTATCCTTAATATTACTCATGATTCTTTTGATCCTCAAACAGTCAAACCTCGAGTCATGCTGTGACTTAGCCACATAAAATGTTTTGTTGGTAAAATTGATAGTTTCTATTGCCTAATTCATACCCCTCCCCCTAAATTGCTGACATGGAAGCCCAAATTGGCTAGTAACGAAGGATGTTGGGGTGTGATGCAGCACGCCAGGGGCTAAGAAAATCATTATTTTATCAACAGAGCATTGTAGGTGTCTTGTCATATTATGACTTGAGGTTTGATGGTGAAAAGATCCTAGCTTTTATTGGTATTACAATTGTTACATTTATTATTATTATTATTATTATTATTATTATTATTATTATTATTATTATTATTATTATTATTATTATGATAGTTTCGACTTTCAATTTTATATTATGACTTCATTTCAATAAGGATGCATACAGTGCTCCGATAAACCACCTAAGTCCGCCCCAGCCTTAAACCACTCATGCCCTCCCAGAATTTGTTGACTTTATGGTTAAGGGGTAGGAATTGATTATTCTTTTTATCTGAAGAATGTAGATACCCGATGTTATAATATGACATCAAAACCTAATACCGCGATGTTATTATTATAACTATCATCAGATTTGGGTCACGTCGACTTGCAGACTTGAACAAAAAAGATCTGACTGGTGAGTCGGGTCTATCCTAAAAAATCAAAGCTCGTTACTTTACTAGTGTAAGTTTTCCAAAATATATGGCTTCATGCATGTAATTCTCATATTGTCATCTCTCTTTCCTGGTCTTTATTTGCCTGCAATAGTTTCCATTGACTGGATAGTTATAGGCATTGAACATTAATTAGTGCAAAATTAACGATAAATGTTTTGGGCATAGCAACAAACAGTGTGTAGCTTTACACTAGTAAAGTTAGCATTTTTTTCCAATATGGTCTTTTTGTTAACCTGCTGATATAGCTTATAGGATAAGCATTTTGTTGTTAGAGCATAAAACCTTTTTTGGGCATACAAATCTTGTCCGCACGTGAGGGGACATGTTAGAGTATAGAGCTTTTTTTTGAGTCTACAACCACAAGTTTGGGTTTTTGGTTGAATAAATATTTCTTCTCATATGCCAGATAATACTAAGAAACGAAGCCATAATCACCATCTTGTCAAAAATAACATGTGCAATATGTTTGGCAACAAACGACAACAACAACCCAGAAGTATAATTAGAGAGGTTGATATTAAAAGAACATATAAAACAGTAGTGGTTGGGAATGTTGGAAACAAACTTTAAGATTCTAATATTCCTAATATGATTATTTATGTTACCATGATCACCTTGGCATTACAAGCTCTTGGTTAACATCCAAGTGCGTTGACGACCTTGGCCTTGTATATGGTAGCCACAACACAAGTCCAGCTTGCAAAATCGTCCAAGAGTTGGGTATATGCAAACCTACATGACCTGTTGAAGAGTGTTGTCCCAAAAAAAACTAAAAATCCAACTGCATATCCAACGCCCATGCTTGCGTAAAACCCATTGCCGATAAGCTTATCTGTGTCTTCTTCTTCATCATCGAATCCAGGAGGAAGAGGAAGACGGGTTTGTTCTTCTCCTGGACAGTGTTTAGGGAGTGGATCTCCGCAAAGCCCGGGATTCCCCATGTATGCACTTGCATCAAAGCTCTGAAGTTGAGTGCCTTTTGGGACTTTACCTGATAAGTTATTGTTGGAGACGTTTAGAACACCAATGCCGTCAATGAGTGCAAGGCTTGAAGGAATGACACCAGACAAATGGTTATTTGACAAATCGAGAGCATTCAAGTTTCCCATGTCACCAATCCCCCGAGGAATCTCTCCCGTTATACTGTTTCGCGACAAATTTAAAGACACTAACCCGACAAGCGTTGTGATATCACTTGGAATTTCGTCACTCAACATGTTGGATGATAGGTCAATGCTCTTTACAAGCCCCAAAGTCCTCCCGAATTCATGCACCGTTCCTTTCCATACAAGTTCTATTTTCTCCTCTCGCCTTATGTAAAGAGTTGAAAACTTTGCGGGAGTAGGAACTTGGATAGTGTAAGAAATGACCGCATTGACACTTCCTACTATACTCATTTTAGTTAACTTACCAATGCACTTGGGAAGACTTCCTGAGACACGGTTCATGGACAAGTCCAACAGTTGAAGAGATTGGAGACTACAAACTCTTGAAGGTATGCTTCCATTGAAGTGATTGGATCTTAGGACAAGTATAGCAAGGTTTGCTAGATTTTCACCTATCCAACTCGGTATGGGTCCTGAAAAATTATTGTGGCCCACATCTATAGCTACCAATTCTGAGCAGTTCTTCAAGGACGAAGGCAGTCCACCGATAAAATCGTTGTTGCCAAGATGCAGCGCCTTGAGTGACAGCAATGAGCCAATGGACGTAGGAAGTATCCCCGACAGATGATAGTTATGAGCCAAGTTGAGAACTGCCAAACTGTTGAAACTAGACCAACAATCCGGAAGTGTACCCGAAAGTTGATTGAATGAGATATCCATAAACACCAAACAAGCTCGACCCTTAAGGTCACATATATCTTCGAGTTCTGTGAACTTGTTCTTGGAAAGGTGCAGTGCGGACACATTGAAGAAAGATGCCGGAATGGGACCTTCCAGTTGGTTGAAACTGAAATCTACTTCCATATAAGGGATGTTCGACATTGAAATGTTTTCAAGTCTTCCCCTTAGTTGGTTGTTAGAAGCATTCAAGACATGAAACATGTTTGGTTGTGATCTGTTCCAGAACCAGGAGGGGATTGAATCTGAAATTCCAGCATAGGAAATATCAAGCACTGAATAATTGACTTGAGTTCTCAGCCAGTTTGGGAAACCAGGGCCCAACTTGCAAGAACTAAGGGATATTGTTGTCAATTGAAAAGGAGGAACCCAGTTGGAGGTCACATTGAAAGTGAGATTGTTAGAAGAGAAATCCAAGTCCCTTAGTTTGGAGAGCTTCAAGAAATGATCTTCCGAAATGACCCCTCCTAAAGAGTTAGCTGAAACATCTAAACTCTCAAGTTGCAAGAGTAGGCCAATACTGGGATGCAGCCTCCCGTGTAGACGGTTTGATCCAAGGTTCAGGGACTTCAAAGAGGGAAAAGTAAAAACGGACGCCGGGATTTCGCCTTCCAGTGTTGTGTTGGAAAGATCAAGATGTTCAAGATTCATTGAATAATTGTTGGTCCCAATCAAAGATGAGATGGTGTTGCCAACCAACAAGTTGTTACTGAGATCCAAGCTTTTCAAATCATGCAACTCCATTAATGGAGGAGGGCTGGGGTACATACCTCTTGTGGAAAGATATAAAGAAGAAAGATCAAGCTTGATGACATGACCTGTGGTTTCATCACACACTACTCCATCCCAATTGCAGCAATCCATTTCTTCTTCTTCTTGATTTCCCCAAGAAGAGAGAAGGTCATTCTTGTCCAAAAGATTGTCCTTAAACTTGAGGAGTGCATGTCTCTCTCCATCAATGCATTTGTTGGATGCTGTGAAACTCAGAACAAAGCAATTTATTAGCACTGCAATTTGAAGGGACAATAGGGTAGCCATTCTTGCTAAACCTACCCTCATCTTCTTCTTCTTCCAAATATATGAAATGGCTAAGAGAAAAGACTACCAAGTCAAGAGCTGCACCCAAGTATGACCAATTCTTAGTCACCACTAACCAACATTGTCATGGAAGAATTGGTCAAACATTATCAGATGATTAGACATCATTTATAGGCTTCAAAAGCTCCCCAAATATATGATTTTAGAAAGAAACATTTTAGAAACAGAGGATTGTAAGTGGTGAGGGACATTCAATTCCTTCTTGATAATCCATGTAGGCATCTAATGTATGTCTTTGAAAGATTTTTTTGTAGAAGAGATAGGTTGAAAATTGTTTATATTGAAAAAGACTATCAAAACTTCCTCTTAAATGAAAAGAGATTGATTGTCACCAAAATGCCAATAAAAACTTTGTAGCCCCAAAAAGTTGTGGTGGCTGTTTTTTCCTCTCCAACATTGCCCATATCACATATCAAAATTATAATACATATGATCAATTAAGGCTTTGTTTGGTAACAGTGTTTTCGATTAGTGTTAGCATTTTGGATAAAATTTTAACGGTGCAGATTAATTCTGAAAACGCTAACGCAAAAGGCTACCGTCGGATAGCTTTTTCAAAACTCTAACGCTAATCTCTGACGCTGATGCCAAACAGGGCCTAAATGTAAATAAAAGAAGTTCACTTTCATCTCAAAATTAACTTCAGTTAAAGAAGTTTACATTGAATAAAATGCTGTTTGTTTATGAATTTCTGTCTAAGGTAATTAATGGCAATAAGTGAAACAAACACCATAAAAAGGGTACAAAAAGCAAAGGCAGGGACTTGCAGGGAAACAAGGAGAAGGGATAAAATGGACAAACGAGACAAATAATATCCTCAAGATTTATGCTTTGGTTACAGTTCAATTGAACCAAAAAGAGAGAAATATAAGGAATGAAACGAAACTGAAATATAACTAAAAGTTTTTAATAGACCACAAATATATTATAATTAAAAGGAAAAGGACTCATGGTGAAGACTCCACTAATAAACTATTGCAGAATCTGAAAAAAAACGTTTAGATCCAATTTAAGCCTTCTTGGTTATGAGATCCTCAATCAAATCTGCAGCATCTTGAACGGTTGCAATAGTCTGAGCACTGTCTTCTTCAACTGTGATTCCAAACACTTCCTCAAGCGCCATCACAATCTCAACCTTCATTAAAAAATCATAATAAGCAAGTTTAAACCTAGAGAATGTACCAAAATAAAAACATTCAAATTTAAACACAAAATAAGAGTTTGCACTGGAACAATGTGGCATTGTATATTAGCATTCTACAATATATTTTGGTTGGCATTATAAATCTGTTTTGGGAATGAAAACATAGAACTCTTATTTTAATACTCTCTATGTTTTAGCCAAGTTAGTCTTTTTATCTTCAAAAAATTCAAATGTAACCCCAGAAATGACACCGAGGAAGAAAGACAAAAATGCTCATAAACAATCACTGTCTTTCTATGAGACGCTGGTGAAGCCAATCTTGGTGTCATTGTGTTTAGCATTGATTTAAACTTCCTCAAGTTTTTAAACAAAAAGCCATGCATATTCACAAGTGTTGTTTAGACAAAATATTGAAATGGGTAATGTATAATAATTTTTGTAACTTATAACATTGTGAGTTAAAACTACAAGATAATAAATTTAGCAAGAACATAAGAAAAAATGAAAGGTACTAAAAGAATGGGTGCATACAGTGTCAAGAGAATCAGCACCAAGAGCTGTAAATTTAGACTCTCCAGTAACCTCAGTATCAGGGGTAAGAGCCAATTGCTTCTTCACAATTTCACAAACTTTGCTGACAGTTTCGGGTTTGGCCTGGCGAATCCACAGAAACAAAGATAAAATGATTTGGTAACAAAAGATTACAAAATGGAGAGAATAAAGAAATCATAAATAAGTCTTTGAGAGAAAGAACAAGCATTTCATCCATACACTAACACTAGTTTCTTCAATAAGAGAATTATCAAGCAATAACTATAGTTTGAAATAAATGTTCAATATAGTAAGGAATTGAATAAACCAGATTCTTCAGCGTGCAAGAACATAGGGAAAATGGCATACCGCAAAAGTGGCAACAAGTCGGCGAGTAACTGGGCGGAGTTGGAGAGACGGGAATTTGTTCCCATTGAAGGAGAAGGAAATGGCCTTCACATTCGATGCCTTGCGGATCCCCTGTAAAAACATTCAACAATACGAAAACCAAATCGTTCATCAATAATCCCCAGCCAATTCAGAAATCGAATGCCAAATCCAACTGACTCCTATAACCACAAGCTAAATCGAATCAATTCCCTCCCAAAAACAGACGAGATTGAATTCACGAAATCGTCGAAAGCCTGGAACAATCTGGACGGAACATTTCGGCATCCAAACAAAAAAAAATCTCAAAAAAAGAAGAAGAAACGAACCTGGATTTGGTTGAAGGAGACGGAGAGGGAGGATCCGGTGACAGAAGCCATTGAATGATCGGCGAGAAGAGAGGAGGAAGAAGACGGATCTGAGATGGCGGAGAAGACGAAGAGAGTGTGTGCTTTGCTGTGAAGGGTTGAAGTGTACACTTGCCCAAACGGCACCCACTCCTTCGCCTTTTATAGCCTCTTTTTTCCTTTTGGGTTTGTTGATGTTTTTCAGTGTATTGAGGAGTCAGGCTTCCTTCGATATCATCGAACCTTAATGCAGTGTTTGGTTGCCAACTCAATCAATCCCCCCAAAATATATGTGATGGGGCTCGGAGGATGTGCAAAGTCGTCAATCGTACAGAGCTCTAAAATTTTAGAACCTTATATTTTTAAATTCATCATGAATTTTGAAACATAAGTATTTTAAAATAATAAAATATGGCCCAAAATGTAAATTTTGGACCAGATCAATTTCATTTTTTTCATTTTTCGAGACCAACGTGGCAACCGCCTCATCGAAGTGTTCCATGACATAAAAGTGATGTGGTGCATAAGTTATATTTTAATGTTATCCGTGATGGTTGTTGAGATGAGTTTTTGTAATTTTGGTTGGCATTATTTTTGACAAATGAGTAAGTCTTAGATGTTGTAGTTTCATCGTTTTGTGTTAGACCAGGGGCAGATCTAATTCAATGGAGTAGGGGGGCAAATGCCCCAAACTAGCTTTTTTGTAATAAGGCAAAAAAAGAAAAAATATATAATTTTTATGTATATGTGCCCCCAACAAAAACTAATGTGACCCCATCTAATAGGAAAGTGTGTTTTATTGCATATAATTAATTTTTTTAAAATAAAATTTCACATTTACTATTAAAAATGTTTTACCACACATTCAATAGATGTTTGAAAATAAAATTCATTAGTTTTTGTCATTTCAAATAGTCTACCGAAAAAAATTGGGGCGCTACATACCCTCGAATAATAATGCCCCCATCTAGCTAAATTTCTGGATCCACCACTGTGTTGGACTGGAGTTGAAATACTTTTTCCGTCATCATGTTGCTGAAGCATGTGCTACTTCACTTGGTCCATCTTATAGCGTGAGGAATTTCTTATCAGCAAAGGAGTCTAGTTGTCTGGAAATATTAGTTGTCTCATACGGAGTATTTCATATGGCTTCGTGATACGCCAAGGAGACTCAAAGTGCGAAGTCTTTTATTGCTTCTTGTACATGAGGCTGAAAATCAGAGAAAAAATATTAGTTGTCTCACATTTATCGGGTTTCTTTTTCCCTATATATGCTCAACCTAGCCTCACTGATCAAGAGGCCGAAAATCAGAAGAAAAAAATTTGAGAGACGTCTTATCAGAAAGATCATCGCAGAAAGAGATTATGCGGTTATGCCACTAGCGTAAATTAGTTTCATCACAAAAACTTCAAAGCTACAAGACAAGCTCACTCACATCATGTGATGTTCATGTTCGTCACCATGTCCAGAAATTGAACACTTTCCTTATTTGGAAAGGGTATGCAAGCACGTCCTTTGTGAAGGTCTCGAAGAAGGTGAAACAAGCCATGGAAGAGACTCAAACAGAGTTTGAGTTAGAAGCCATACGTAGGATAGATTTTGTCATAAACATTGAGAAGAAACATTCTATTTTTTGTGATTGGTGTAATATATTACGTTGGTTTAGTCTAGAGTTACAACACAACACATGAGCCCCATAGATGTAGAATAATCTGCTCTGAATTGCGTAAACAATTCCATGTGTCATTGATTAATGTCATATATTGATGTAAAAATAAAAAATACTCAAGCATATTTTAATATGTAGATTAGTATTTTATAAAACGAAATACACCTCTACTTTTATTTTAAATTATTAACTATTTAAATCAAAGAAATTAAAAAAATAATGTTTTCATGGGCTTGAATGATTTTGTATTCAAATGTAAAGGAAAAAAATGAATAAAAGTTTGTCAAATATATTTACAAATTTTGATTCAAAATCATAGGATTACGAATATTTTTTATATTAATTTTTGTTTGAATTAATGCATTATTGGAGAAGAATAATTGAATTTTTAGTATTTTTTTTAATTTAATTTTTTTTATTCATAGAATCCCTAATCCAAGATTTCATTTGTTTAAATTATGTGGCAAAGAGGAAGAAGAATCATGCTTTTTCATCATAGAATCATAAAATCAGTAACTCATATTGTTCTGAATTAATATGGGGGAGAAGATTCACACGATTGCTAATGTCTTTTAATATTCATTACTATTTTTTGAATTAATGTGGGAGATAAAAATCGTAAGTTTGCAAAATTAGTAAATTTAGATCATTAGATTTGAAGTGTAAGTGGTATACACCATAGAAACAAATTCAGAGAGAAAACATGCATTCGCTAAATGAATTTTAGTATCATAATTCGTGAGAGTTTATGTTTTGCTATGACTATTAATGAAAGTTAAAGCTAAACATAATGTTAGTAAAAGAAGTACTATCAATTATGTTATTGAGTAATATTTATCAAACACTTGAATTGTGTAATGGTACAAAGTTAATTGTTGTAGGATTGTGAAAAAGTCTTTTTTGCAATTTTAGTATCCGCAAAAAAAAATCAGAGAGAAAGTCTACATACCCTAAAGTTGTGTTTCGGAACTAAAATGTGCATATCTGAAGAAGATCGATGAAAACTTAGCGTCTATGCACATCTCAGATTGGAAAATAGGGTTATTAAACTCAATCAAGGGACGTGTATCATCTCCGGCCAAAAATGAAAGAGAGAGATTGTCGGAAAGATCGATGCCATCAATACCGGGGATGAGTTGCTCTCGAAGGCATCGACGAAGAGAGAGGAGATAGATACTCCGTAATAGATATAGCCTACCGGGGGGCGAAAGAGTATAGGTTTTGGGTAGGTTAAGGTGGACTGTAGGTTTAGGGTCTGTTCATTTTAGTTAGAATTCTAAAGCTGAATGTTGGAATAAAGTAAAAAAAGTTAGAAGAAAGTAGGAGCTGGAAAAATCGGAAGGAGTTGGAAAATATTGGAAATATTAAACGTGTTAAAAAAATCACTCAACTAAAAGATTATCCAAATAAATATGTAAGAAAACTTATTTTGAATGAAAAAGAATTCATCTATGTTCGTATTTGGGGTGATATGTTATAAATTTGGATATATGATGTTGTTGTAAATTCATCATTTGCAAATAAGTTTTTAAGTGAATGTTGGAAGAAACTAGAAATAGTTAGAAAAAACTAGAAAAAGTTGAAAGAAATTAGAAAAAGTTGAAAAAGGTTAGAAGTTAACTTTTCCAACTTAAAGGAACAAAGCCATAATTTGTTGATTGGGGTGGGCCGGGTTTATTTCGTGTTGGGCTAGGGGATTAATAGCCCGTGGGTTGAAATGGTTTTTTTAAAATGATGATGCTCAAAATCTCAAATTGGTACAATTAAAAAAATTGCTCTGTATGTAACACCTCAATTTGAAGGGATTTTTAAAACAATGGTGTAAATGGTTGAATAAATTCTTTTCAATACTTAAATGAATAGAAGTACTTTTGTTTGGACCGAAAAACATTAGTTCCAAGTTCCAACTTCCAAGGATGAATTACAATTTTATAAATTTTCACCATATTTCAGAAACAAAATATCTTAATGAATTCAGATATAAAATATTAACTTTCACGAAATAATTTTCCAATTTGATATAAAGTTCGATCATAATATTCTCCCTTTTTAGTAGAAAACATTCACACTACTTTTGTTTATGTACACGTTGAACTCTACTTGTAAAATTGGTCAATTCGTATCTAGAATCTATTTAGATTATAAAACCCAATTACATTAAAATTGTAATAAGAATATAAAAAATTAAAATCTATTTAAAAAAATTAAACTCCGTATAACTTTCTTTTTGAAATAATAAAGAAAATATGTAGATTTAAAAAATTATAATGGTAAAATACATATTGATATAATAGTTACACTGATGGATATATGTCGCTTTCAATATCCCGACAGACACATCGACAATCGCCGGCCAACTAGAATCCTATCCTATATCCTATATCCTATATCCTATCCTATATATCCTATATCCTATCCTATATCCTATATATCCTATATATATATGTAAAAGAGAGTTCCATGGTTGTGGTGATGACATGTGTCATGCCACGCGTGCATACTACTGACATGTGTCACGCCACATGTAAATCATGTCTTTCCATGCAAGCATCCCATAGTTGTTGTGACGACACGTGTCATGCCACGCATTCATACTACTGACATTTGTCACGCCACATGTAAATCACATGACACATGTCTTTCCATGCATGCATATATAATTTTGTATTAAATAATCATTATTTTTATTATATTTTATAAATCCTTCACTTTTCAACAATAAAAACTCATTATTTTTATTAACTTCTTATAAAGTTTTCGCTCTCTCACTATTTTAGAAATATTTTTTCATTGTTTTTACATATGTTTTAACTATGCGTGACTATTTTATAATTTAAAAAAATTATATAAAATTTATTCATAAAAAACAATATTGCTTATAATTCCATCATCTCAAAAAAAGCTATCATATATAAATCTTATCACACGTGCATCTTTATTAACTTCATAACATATTATTTATATAAATAATCCAGCATTTATTTTATTTTAAAAAACAATCCAGCATTTATTTTGTATATTTTTTATATATATTTTAGTACATGTACATCAATAAAATAAATATTTATCAAACACATCATATATCATTAGAGAACTTAAAATAAATATTATTTTTATTTTTTAATTTAGATGTCAAAATTTAGAAAATATCAGAGCCCGTGCGAAGCACGGGGTTATTACTAGTAAAGGATAAAAGAGAGGGGATATGGGGTGTGGGTGGGAATCTTGCCAAAGGACAGAGACAATGGAGAACGAAGAGAGAGGGGAAGAAAAGCAATCAAGGCACTCGGGATGGGGATGCCGGAGACGCCGTTCGACACCAATGTCAAATCACCTCGCGATCCCCTTCTTTATCGCCACACCAATCCGCTTTATAAGATTAATTTTTTAGCAATGATTTCTTTTTGTATACTCCTCCGTCCCAAAATATTCACAACATTTACTTTTTCAGCAGTCACGGGAACTTTTGTTTAATTCTACGTTTTCATTGGTTATTTGATAAAATAAAATATTCTTGACACCTTTTATTTCGAATAACTTTTCATGTAGTTTTTTAATATGTAAATTTTATTTTTTATTTCTATACGAATATGTAAATAAAATGAATTGAAAAAACTTGTTATTTTGTCTCGAAAATACAAATGTGGCAAATATTTAGGGACGGAGGGAGTAAAAGTAATGGGGATTAGAAAAACCTGGGGCGGGGGCCCAATAACAAATGTACAGCCGTTTGATTCCGATCTTGCAATGCAGTGTACGAATTAATGTATAGTTGCGTTATCATTTTCACAGTAATTTTGTTTATAAATTATTGACCAAGCAACGCACGAGTTCGAATTCAGTGATATCAAAGTTGAAGCAAATTGTCAAGGAACCAACTCAACCAAAAGCTCAAGCTTGTGGTTGTGACCCTAGAAGAGTTATTTATATTCTAACACGCTCCCTCACGTGCAGGCGTAGTCTTTTTTCGAGCCTTGCACGTGAAACCTTAATTTTTTTAAATTGGGTGGCGCTGAGTTTCGAACCCGTAACCTCTTAGTCAACGAAGCTCTGATACCATGTCAAGGAACCAACTCAACCAAGAACTCAAACTTGTGATTGTGGCCCAAGAAAAATTATTTACTCACTCCGTCCCAAAAAGAATGGGACGGTTTGACTTTTTGGGAAATTAAGGGAGGGATATTTTGGTATTGACTTTCCAAAAATACCCTTGATGTGATGGGTAAAAGTAGGATGTGATGGGTAGATTATTAGAAAAAAGTATGATGTGATAGGTAGGGTATGAAAAAGTAAGGGGCAAAAGTGGTTTTTTAATAGAAATGTAACGGACTTTACGGGACGCAATTTTTTCTAAACGTAACAAACTTTTTGGGACGGAGGGAGTATATTCTAAGACAAATAGTCAACAAATTTCAAAATGGCACTATTGCTTGATACTCACAATGCAAAATTTGAAGTAGAAAACCCCTTCATTGTCTTCACTAACACAAATAAAACCCCTTCATTGTCTTATTCATCTTCTCCAACCACAAAATCTCGCTTTAGCTTTACTGCTACTGTCAATACTCAACAGCATATCTCCTAAATTGATCTTCCATTTCTCTCTATCCACCAACCTTTCTGCTGTAAGTCTCTCTTTCTCTCTCGCTCTCTGCAATGTAGATACTTACTGTGCGTGTTTGCATAGTTCAAATAAATTTTTTGTTGAACAAATTACTGTTGATGCATTTGAAAAAAAAATTACTTAGAAATCGTCCGGTCTCCTTGATCACGTCTGTCACATCTGGAATTCAACTTGCGGTTGAGGATCTCAGAAGAGCGCGATTCGTGAATTTTGAAGTTTTTCTGGTGGTTACATTTGTGTATGTGTACTGTCTGAGAGGGAGTCGTGGACATAGATGCGTTCTCTCATGCATAATTTTCACGGCATCGATCTGTCAAGTTTGAGGCATTGCTTAGGCTGTAGTGAATGTTCGTTTGTCGGATTCAAATTTGCTTCTGTAAAAAAGAAATTGTTTGTCTGTTTGTGTTTATTTTTAATTTTTGGAAGGATTTAAGTTGAAATTGTGCTGTGTTTGGTTGAGGATTAGATTGCGATTATGAAGTTGGGGGGTTTTGTATTCACTTAATCTGCATTGCATCGAACTTTTTCTTAGAAGGGTGTCCGTTTAGATTTTCTGCTTGGCAGTAGTTGAGGTATTTGTGTGGTGACCTAATGGTGGTTTCAGGTGAGGAAGAATGACTGGCGCAGAGTTGGTGGTGATTCAACCTCCCGATCTCAAGTTCACATGTAAGTTCAATCAATTATGTCTTCTGATCATGATATGAAAACCTCGTGGAGCATGTTTCTGTATCACTATGGATATCTTGGTGTCTGTCTATTTTATCTGGTTTGGTAATGCTTTTTAGCTTCTTAAGTTCTTCTGCCTTGGTTCTTTTATTTTATTTGTTCATATATATAAGCTCGCATTGAATGAATTTGTGTTTTCCGTTTGAACTCTTTTGAATCTCCTAACACTTTTACTCTTGTTCCAGTCGAGTTGCTGAAACAAAGTTCATGTTCTGTTTACTTGACCAACGTCACAGATCAATATGTAGCATTTAAGGTGAACCTATTTTCATCTTTCCCCAAACGATGTGAAATCTACATCACTACATGGCATGCATTTTTTTCCATGTTCAGTTATCTAGCTAATTATGTAGCGAAAATGGTCAATCATTGCGTTTTGACTGTTTTCTAGCAGAAACAAACATAGATTCATGCTCAGAAAAGAAGTTTCTCTTCACTTCTTTTCATTATGTTATGTGAGGATACCAATCTTGTTAACTTTGCAGGTAAAAACAACATCGCCTAAAAAATACTGTGTGAAGCCTAATATAGGAATCATCAAGCCAAAGTCAACAGTTGATTTCACAGGTTCACTTGCTTCTCATTTTGTACATCATACATAATATTCCTTGTGAAAGTTGTAGCTATTATGTTTAAATTGTCTACTTCTTTAATGTGAGTGCTGGATGTATAATTACCTTTTAAGAAACACTGCACAATTATCCGTTGTAAAGCGATGCAGCATTGTATTTCCAACAAACAATTCTTTTGTGTTTTGAGTATATTGCTTTTTGCTAGTTCCGGATCCATCATAAATGATACTTCCTCCGTTGCACAATATTGTTCAACTTTATCATTCACAGGGTCAAACTAAATTCACTTTCTTTACAAATTTTCTTTGATCATTAGATAAAACAAAACTGTGTTGTCACCACTTGTTTTGTAGAACTTTTGAAGTAGCTTTTAAAAAATAAGTTTTGTTTCTAAATTCTACACCAATATAAGTTGAATCAACAATAATTTTGGTCAAATATAGTAATCCAAAATTGGAACATTATTATGGGACAGATCGAGTATTAACTTTTCAAGAGTAAGCGTTTGATAACATCCATTTCAACCAAATAAGTTAAAAGTTACGGAGTAAAAGCAACTTGTTCTGCTTATTGTGTCGATAATACGAATAAGTAATGTTTGGCTACCATTCCTACCAAACTGAGCCTTGATTTAATGCTCAAAGGACGGTTAAAACTTTCCCGGCTCTATCTTTTATTTGCACTGACATCTAATTTACTATCCGTCCTGATTGTCACATATCTACTTCTGTGATGCAGTTATTATGCAAGCTCAAAGGACTGCTCCAGTTGATATGCAATGCAAGGATAAATTTTTGGTTCAGAGCACATTTATTCCCTATGGAAAGATTGAAGATGAAATCTCGCCTAATATGGTACAACTCTGATACCACAATTAATGTTTGGATACTGTGGCTACCTAATTGCTTCTCATTGTTCTCTTTCATTAGTTCTTAAAAGATGAAGGAAAGTACATCCAAGAGAACAAGTTAAGGGTCTTTCTTATTAGCCCACCGCCGCCGCCAGTTTTGCAGCCATTTAATGTTCCGAAGGAAGACTCACCTGACAATTCTTCAACTTTGAAGGAAAAACTGCTGATTGGACTTGAAAATTTTCCTCCTCATACGGTACATAATCAATCTGTCTGTAACATAAACACCATGGTAAGACTTGGCAATAGGTTCCTGCTATGTCTGGTTTTACCCTATGAAATACAAAAGAAAATCAAATTTGATAAAAACAGTCCAGGTTACATGTATTAAAAAATCTTAGTCTTTATATACTCCGTAGTAGAAATACATAAGTAGAATTAGTTCAAAACAATCTAAAATTAATTGTTTGAACAGAAAATTACTCACGGGTGACGCGAGTTTTGTTGAAATAACTCTCAGGTCCCTCTATTTTCAAGAAGACAGCAGAGGTCCTTACATTTTGTTGTAATGACTGGAAGGGGACATTTCATCCAATATTTCATCTATAAACGTTAATAAATGCATTTTTTTCCTATTCTTTTCTAAATGTTTTAGGGTAATAAATCTTAGGTCGATCCTTTTTTTATTTCTTTGTTTTTCTTTCATTTTGTTACTATTTTTAAAGTGTTATTTTAGAATTTCTTCTATAAAATCGTATAAAAATTCAAAATCGTTTGTATTATACGGAGTATTACAACAAATGAAATGAAAATTTTTTTTTAAAAAAAGAAAAAACAAGTTAATGGCAAAATAGAAAAAAACGGTATTGGAAAAATAGGAAAAAAATACATTTATTAACACTTACGGATGATGTATTGGATGAAATGTCCCCTCCCAGTCATTACAACAAAATATAAGGACCTCGGTTGTCGTTTTGAAAATAGAGGGACCTGAAAGTTATTTCGGCAAAACTAGCGTCACCCGCGAGTAATTTTCTGTTGTTTGAATATGAGTTTTTTTTAAAGTTGTCTATTGGAAACAGCCTCTCTACCTTTGAGTAGGGGTAAGGTTTACAAACACATACCCTCCCCACAATTGGGTTGTTTTTTGAAGTTTCCCTTAAGATTTTCTTTCTTTCCAAAATTCCCTCTATTTTCCTACAATTTTTCTTTTTATAGATTTTTTCTGGGTTTCAAACAGACTCTAGTAGAGCCAGGAAACAGTTTTACTAAATTTAAAAATTGTCCATGAAATTTTCTTGTGTAAAAAATGGCAGCATATTGAGAAGAATGAGGATACCAAAATTGGTGCCTCTAAAGATGAACCAAGGTTAGGAAAGAGTATGGAAATTGAAATCAGAAGGGATGAGGTTGCAGAATCAATACCTGTGGAGGCTATAGAAACAACCGAAGTGACATTTTCCAAAAACTTTGAGGAAATGAAGGCAAAGCTTGGTGTGGAATCAAGAACAGTGGATGATTTGGAAAGAAAAGAAGTGACATTTTCCAAGCCCTTTGAAGAGTTGAAGGCGAATTTAGGTACAAATCCAGATTATGTGGAACATATGGAAGCAACCCAAGTAACACTCTCCAAAAACCGTGATGGTATGTCGGTATGTTTGGAAATTTGGATCACATCAAATGCTAGGGGAAGGGAAAATCTGTGAAGGAATGTTGCCTTCTTATGTTTGCTTTTACTTTGGTAATGCAAAGGAAAAGTAAATACGATTATTTCTTTTTTTAATTTACATATATTTAGCTTTTTTAGTCTATGAATAATAGACATGTGCTAATAAAATGACTATCAACAAGTATGTGAAATAACCATTGAGTTTTGCCTATATTTCATTTTCCCCTACAGTTTCTTTCCTTCTAATTTTGCTCTATGTTTTTCTTCTTATTCTTCCTTAGTACTAATTTCTCCGGTCCAAACAGACCATGGGGGTGTAGAACCACGATCTGTGGAGTACCCTGAGGAGTTGAAGGCAAAGTTCGGAGTAGAGCCAAAATCTGTGGAAAATGTTGGGACAGCTCAAGTATTGTTATCCAAAAACCCCGAGGAGTTGAAGGCAAAGTTTGTTGCAGGCTTAAGATCTGCGGAGGATGCAGAAACGACAAAGCTGATGCTGTTCAAAGACATTGAGGAGCTGAAGGAAAAGCTAGGCGCACTGAATTCAAAGCTAATTGAGGTTATTGACTAACTCTCTCTCTCTCTAAATTCCTGATTAATTTGTGCATTCTTGACGAATTAGGTCTGCATTCGTATCATCGAAGAAAATATTCAAGTTTTCCCCTCAATCTCCTTAATCGAGAAATGGTTCATGTGGTGCTTCTCATTTTTCTCTTCTATTTCGTCACTCCCTCCATCCCATAAAAAGAGACCTTTCTAGAGTCAATTTTGAACAAATTAAGTTGGTTTTATTCATATTCAGAACCTTTTAATTAAAAAGTGTTTTAAAGAAGTTGAGTGTGTCAAATTTTGGTAAACCAACAAATAAATTTAAAACATTGCTATATGTGATGGGGCTTTTTTTCTTCAATAGTTATACTTTACTAAAAACAAAACAAAAATTACCTTTGTGAAAAAGGATTCCTTTTTATGCAATTTGTTCAATGTTCATAAATTACTTATCATTTAGCAACCCAATAAAGTAAAACATACTCAGTAGTAAAAAATGACTAAAAGTAACCCTCTCATACAATGAACAGGTAAAAACTTTGTGTTATAAGTTGGTACATAGGTGTGTAACCCATGTTGCAAACTGTTGTGTCTCTAGCTCTAGTTTCACTATGATTAGAATGGGTGTATAATTAGTAGGAGCTTATGAGTGTTCTTTACAGGCGGGACACACAATTTCGAAGCTTAGCCAAGAGAAGGAAACTATTGCTCGCGAGAAGGAAACTCTGATGCGGGAAATGGTCTCTCTCTCTCTCTCTCTCTCTCTCGGATCACGCCCTTGTTAACAGTGAATGTAATGTGGGATTTTGATGGGTTTGCAGGTTTTTGCGAGGAAGAAGAGTGGCGTGAGAAAAGTTCGAGTGGGATTTCCGCCGCTGTTTGTTTGCATGGTGGCACTGGTTGGTTTAGCTGTGGGGTTCCTTTTGAGGGCTTAATGTGGAAACATATTCTCAGTGGCATATATAAAGTATATATATATATACACACAAGTACTTCAGCACAGAGGTAATTTTGTGGTTTTTCATCTTTTCAAACAGCCAAATTCTTCTCAGGAGAAAGAGAAGATTGTATGTCTCAAGTCTGAACAATAGGGATAAAAGCTCAAACCCTTCTTTTCTTCTCTTAAGTTTTCTTCCCTTGTAGCCGTTGATCTTTATTTTATATTAAGGGTGTGTTTGGTTGGGAGAAAAATGTTTTATAGAAAAGTTTTGGTTCTATTTTCTTGCGTTTGGTAAAACACCTTGGTTCCCATGACATTGGGAACCAATGTCATGGAACCTTGCCCTTGGTAAAATTTGTAGAAGGAAAATATTTTCCGAGAAGAATATTTCCGGAGAAAATATCTTCTCTCAAGGTAAATGTTAGGGGCACACCAAAAGATGTATTCCAACTTCCAAGAGTAAGGGGCTGTTTGTTTCAGCCTCTTAATGGTTCAGATGTTTGAATAGTTCGGCACTTAATGGTTCAGACTGTTTATTTCAGCCTCTTAATGGTTCAGATGTCTGAATGGTTCAGACATTTGCCTTTGAATGGTTAAGTATTATACAGAGTCTGAATGGTTAAGACCTCTTATCTGAATTGATCAGACATTTGCCTCTGAATAGTTAAGCAATATACTAGCTCTTAATGGTTCAGACCTCTTACTGGTTCAGCACTTAATGGTTCAGACCTCTTACTGGTTGAACACTTACCTATTCAGAAGTTGCCAAACAGCCCCTAAGTGTAAATCATAATCTTACAAAGTGTATAAGTTGGTCCAAAAGGTGGAATCGCCCACCCCTGGCCCGACAGGGATGATGGAGGTGGTAAATCATGGTGACTCGGTCGACCAAGAACGCTAGACCCGGGTCCACCGCGCACAAGGAGTCTCCTCACCCTTTATGGGATTTTGGATAACTCCCACATTGCCGCTTGCGGGACTCGATTCCTGGTTCTCGTTCTAAGATTTCACGTTTTCGACCAACTAAGCTGTCCATGCGGGCACGAAGTGTATATGTGAGATGGGGAGGGTAATGGTGTAGAAATGGAGCACACTTGACGTATTAAATGATTTCCGTTGGATTTTGAAATAAGATTTTCATTTTTTGTCCTGCTAACCATCCTACCCTCACCCCTACCTCAGCTCACCGCAGCTTCTTATTCCTATCTAGGACCATGCTAGGGTAACACCACATGGGTGCTACCATGGGTGCACTCATACTTCGCACAGACAAACACAGACGATAATTATCTGTGTGACACATACAATTATCGTCTGTGTTTGTCTGTGCAAAGCATGGGTGAACCCATGATAGTACCCATGTGGTGGCACCCTAACATTTTCCTCCTATCTATTATCCGTTGTCACTTGTCATGCACCCATGAACCCTGTCAACCCTTCCCTTATCCATCTTGTGCCGCCTTGTATGGTACAAAAATATTATTAAATTGGTTTAAAACATCTTTTAGTATTAATTTTCAAATATTAACAATAGAAACTACTACCTCCGTTCCACTCTCTTTGTCCACTTTTGACTTTTGGAACTATTCATTTTAGCACTTTGACTCATCAAATTCTCTCAATGTGTAAGCCTAAATATAGTCATGTGTGATCTTATTTGATTTTTCTTAACATATAGATTATTAATATATAATTTCTATAATTTTTAATATACAAATTACAAGATAAAATCAATTAAAGAAGTGCATTGGATGATGTGCCAAAAGGTAAGTGGACAAAGAGAGTGAGACGAAGGGAGTATTTTTTAAGAAAATATTTTCCTTCCAACAAACAATGAAAATGATGATTGGAAATTAATCTTCCTCCCAACCAAACAAAACCTAAGAAAGTGTTTGAGATTTCATTTGACTATTAATTTTAAGTTTTTACTTCATAAAAGTATATATGAATTTGCTTTAGCTTCTAAATTACGTCAGAAACATAGTTTTGAAAGACGAAGTTAGGGCATACACACACATACATAAAATATACTCCCAAGCAATTCATACATGTTTTAAAAATGAGTATTTAATCTATTTAATTGTATTAAAAATGCCAGCTCATTTTTTAAAAGGTCCATAGCCGGTAAGGCGAGAAAGGCGACAACTCAGGCGAGAAAAGCGAGCGGCCTAGCGAGAAGGCGGACAACGCTTCGCTTGAATATCTACATGCAATATAAGGTCGCCAGGACGCCGTGGGAGGCGCTCGCCTTTCAAAACTATGGTCAGAAGTGTAAATTGAGTTCTAGAAATGCATTTAGCAAAGCTAAGGATAATCATTTTTTGGTTCTTATTTAGCACTTACTTTTTTTAAAAGCTCACTCCAGTCTCAAATACTCTTTAACAAAGATGATCTTTTAATTGCGAGCTTACCGTGCAGTTTTTTTTCTCAAACACAACAGACATGTGGTAGAAATGTAGAATATCATTTGTGAGAGAGAAAAAGGAAATGAGGGTTAATATGGTGCATTGTTCTTTTACATTTGGTCATACGGAGTAAAGGTAAGATTGTAGTAGGAAAAATGTCATTTTGTTTCACTTAAAGAAGTGGAGCCCTCACCCAGACACTCCCGCATTTCAGCTTGATAGAGTAATAAGAGAGTAAATCATAATACTTGTAGTTGTAGAATTTTAGTTTGGTGTTTAGAGAGTGCTTCTCATGTTTAATGCGCACAGAGTTATCACATTAGACAAAACCTCAACATAGACGTGATGAAAAATCAAAATTGAGACTTTAAACTTAACACTTTCTTCAAAATCATGTAAACTCCCAAACTACAGTGTCAAGTTTTATTGTTTGATTAAAATTATTTTCCATATAGAAATTACGTGAAAGAAGGCAACATAAGTACATAACTAAGCATATCATTTTGGTAAAAATGTCTAATCCTCCTATTTACAACAGCAGCAGGATTTTAATCCCGCCTAAAATTTTGGGCCTAATATGGGCCGGTTTTTTACTATACTGTTTTGGGTCATCTTTTAATTATTATTGCTTGGACACATTTTAAATTTGTTTAAGAGGCAAATACTCCGTAATTTAGAAATGAAACATCTTATCAGTGAAGTCAATTTTTTAAAAGAGGGTTCGAAATATTCCTGATATTATTAATTACTTTGTTTAAATTATTATTTCAGCATACTATTTTAATTATTAATCAGACGTATTACTTTTTATCAATCAGATCCACTAGAGACCACACCAACTAACACATGATTCAGAATAAAAAAAATATTGCTATTATTAATAAACAAACATTTCAACATAAAAAAATATTGCACGATCACACATTTGCCTCAACTTCATGTAATCCTCACCTGAAAAAGGAAAAATTATTATTAGTATTGCTATATCAGGATTTTAAAGTTTGTAATATTTGTAGAATTAATAATAATGATACAATTTTGAAATCTACCTCCACTGATGCATATTTATAAAAAAAATATACTCCGTAATATAATAAACTTATCATGTGAGTCATTCCTAAAAAAGGCAAAATTAATATTAGCATATGCATAATAAAATTCTATCATCTGTTATATACCATGAAATAATAATAATTAATAATAATAATAAACATAATAGAGAATTAATGGAAGGGGCAGTTCGCACATAAGAAGGCACGCCTTTGTCAGTTTCCCACACTATTAACTTTTCAATAAATAAAACAAAAAATTACTGGTAGTGGGCAGTTCCATCAGCCCACTTTCTCCACATTTCTCCCACTTCCTAACCCCACTCACTGCACAACCATTGATATGGCTATAAATACAACCATCCCTGCATTGAAAATCCCGTGGAACTCACATATACAGTTCAGACGAATACTATCATACCTTTTGTGTTGAGAGCAGTGTCCTACAATGGCAAGTGGCCCATCAAGGGGAAGGGTCGGGATGTGGTTGTTTTTCCGAAGTGAACGACAGTCGTGCATATTGGGCACTTCGCATGCGAGCCGTGAGGGTTTACCAAGTACCACAACATGATGGAAACATGAAAACATTGGATATTGTCTCTCATGATAAAGAGGTAAATGTATTTCACAGCACGAGTTATTCATTCTAAATATATATTTTTTGTAATCTATCTAAATATTGATTCTGTTATTAACAGGAAACTAAAATTCATGCCAAAGTGAATACCCCAGAACTTCATTACTATCTACCAAAATAATCAAAGAAGATAGCACTATGCACGACGCAACTTCTGTGTACTGCCAAACTTTCTGTCCTACAAGACAACATCGTGCCCCTGGGTTTTGAGCTTAACTTCAAAAACCATGTATAAGGATCTCACACCTAAAAACGAGGCGGACATACACCTTCCCACCTTTTCCTAGGATTTAGGTTGAATTTCAGTCAATCGACTCCATACTGGCACAGAGAGATAAAAGGCAACTAAGGGTTAATTAGAGCATATTCACTATCTCTATATTAATATATTCTATTTGTCTTGAAGTAGACCTTATAATGTCTACAGTATGTATGCTTTTTTTATTTGTTGTGCCATGTTTGAAACGTGCATGTCACACGTCTCAAATTAATGGAGAAAGGTTGGTTCTATTTTAGTTTCTTTTTAAGTTCTCTATGGCAACTACCCAATGCATATATTATTATGATGAATTGAAACTTAGCTTATATGATTATATATTTTTTCTTCTAACTGCAATGTTCTTCATTCTATTTTTAAAGAATGCGTCTGAATCCTAAAAAATTGCTCACATTAAGAATCCCTTTTAAGAAATAATCAACTAAATTTGAAGGGGTAAAGTGAAGAAGGAAATGATTTGAAAGTTTCATATCAAATACTGTTTGGTACATAAAAAACAGTGCAAGACACATTCTTTTGAAATCATGAAATAAGTTCATATGTTTATATTTTTTGCCATTGTCTTTGCAATAATCTTGATTCTGATTTTAAAAAATACTTCTAAACTCATCTAACGACTTGGTCATCTTAAAAAACCCTTTTAAGAAATGACAAACCAAATTTCAAGGTGTAATCTTAAAAAGGAAAATGATTTGAAAACACCAGTGTTACAAGATAGAACACTTTAACATAAAATGCTAATCACTTCATATCAAATACAGTTTGGTTCATAAAAAACACTGTCTGGACTGTTAAATAATTTTGAAAACATAAAATAATGTATATATGACCATTAAAATTTTAAAACAAACAATTTTACAAATAGTCTTGCGCAGGAACATATGGATAGTGACTAATTGAATTATAACCCTTGAAAAACCTTTATATTTAACACTTACACTCATAATTCAAAATCAGATTCCTAACTTAAAAAAAGAAGACTACTTCAATCAAAAATTACATTTATAATAGGGTGTCAAATGATTCAATATACGGAGTAATCAATTAACTTGAGATTCTATGTAATATTAAGATTACCTTTTCCTTTGTGAATAATGAAATCTGAGAACTTCACAATTTTTCCTGGCTCACTTCTTCAAACTTTTAAATAGACGACATCACCTACATTTAAAACAATAATATTATGGCCATAATCAATATATTACAATTTAAAGAATAACAAACACTCCAGAGAGAATCTTAATTACCCTGCAGACGTCAATATATTACAATTTAAAGAATAACAAACACTCCAATTTAATATATATATATATATATATATATATATATATATATATATATATATATATATATATATATATATATATATATATATATATATATATATATATATATATATATATATATATATATATATAAATTTATAAAGCTATTATCCAGCACAATGTTGGGTTGAGCTTGAAGACGTCCCTTTTGGTGAGAATCAGTCTACCCAAGCCGATGATAAAATCCATAATAACATAAAATAGAAAAATTCAATCACAGAACAATCATTCCGGATCCAAAAACATGAAAATATATGAAACAAGTAAATATATTTCCGTTGTTAAAGCAATAATTCTACAAACAAACGAAATCATGTATTGAAAATGGAAAATGAAAGATGCAGAACAGAAGAGATAGCATTGTCGTGTACAGAGAGAGATAGAGATAGAGAGAGAGATTGGGGAGGCGGAGAAGGAAAAAAACTAGAATCGGCTAGGGCTATGGGGAGGGCGAGATTTATCTGGCCCAAGGTTGATTGGGCTGGCTTAAATGGATGGGCTTGAGGTGGGCTTCCAATAATGTACACAGTAATATTTTAACTGTAAAGTATTATATTAAATTGGACTCTAATTAAAAATAAAATTAACATATTTAAAAATTAAGTTAAAATAAATTGAAAACAATACTTCACATATTTTTTATTTTATCAAATACATATCAAAATTTAGTAAAAAAAATTAAACTCTTACTCCGCAAATAATATAGTCGTAGTTTAATTAAAACGGATAACGGATAATATGATTTATGGTTCTATTTCACATGTCACAAATCGACAGGGTTCGATGATTTTGAGTTTCAATGAAGAAAGCAATCCATTGGAATATACTTGGAATGTTGTATCTAAAGAAATTTTTCAGAATTTGTAATTATACATTTTTATTTAACTAATATCATGCAATTTACTACATTAAACCAAAAAATTAGTACACATTTAAAAAATTTGTGAGTTATCATTATATGTTTTCATTTTTTATAATCTATGCAGATAATGTTTTTGCCGTGCATCGCACGGGTTGAGTCTAGTCAATACAACTTGAGGAGTTCCATCATAAATCCATAAATGGCAGACAAACTTTTTTAGACAATTTTTTTTCTATTTTTTCCCAAAAGCAATACTCTCTCCGTCCTTGAGTATTTATCTTTTTTGATTTTTTCAATCAAAATTGATAAACTTTGGCTTCAAATGAAAAAAAATAGATATTAATGCAAAAATAATTTTATTATATTTATTATATGAAATATTTTCAAAATATTATTTTATCTAATGAATATACTATATATATATATATATATATATATATATATATATATATATATATATATATATATATATATATATATATATATATATATATATATCAAAACTAGATAAATACTCAAGGACAGAAATAATAAATGTTTGTCAATGAGAAATAAATACCTATTTGACATATATAAAAATTCACCATAACCTTTAGCAATTTGTCAAATACTATAGTAGAAGTGTAGAACTAAGGTTCACACTATTTTAGGTTGACCTTCTTATGAAGATTTCATCAAACAAGATTTAGGTCTACCAAAGAAAGCTCCTTTAGAGCTTTTACAAGAATTTATTATACTACGGAGCAAAAACCAAAAAATAATGAATAAATATACACTGAAATACCTCGTGTTTTATTACATGGCTGGAAAAAAAAAAAAGTAAAAGTACAAAGCATTTGGACTTTTTTTTAAAAAAAAACAACAGTTGAAGCAATTACATATACACAAAATAATAGGTAATGCTAGAAATGGACTGCCAAAGAGTTGAGACATTCTTTTAGACACGTCTGAACTGTACACACCCATTTTGAGGGTCTTATAAATGCCTCATAATTAGCCATTTACAACAGTTGAACCTTTGTGGCATTCCCCAGACCCCATCATCCTCAAATTTAAATTAAAGAAAACCACACATAAAAAAATAAAGTACAGCCTCTCTACCATATATATATATATATATATATATATAAACAACAAAATGGTTGAACCCCAAGTACCCAAGGTCCCACGTACCAACCTAGTTTGGAAGAGGTAAATTGAGCTACAATTTCAGTCTGGTCGATAGTGGGGTTTGTCCCTGGAACGTACATACAAGAACCTCATGGAACATTCTTTATCATCGTTGTTGGGAGTCGAACCTGAGTTTTCGACTACCTGAGCTACGCCCTCGGGCATCTGGCAGATAAAAAGGTTACAAAGCCTACCTGTATCAGTGCCATTGTTGTTGCTGTTGTTGTTGTTCGCTCTGTTCGGTGGGCGAGCCGGGAACATAGGGCACAAAGCCACGACCACCGAAAACGGGTCTCATGAATGCGTCGTCGAATTTTCTCCAGTAGTGGTGGACCGTGTGGGACGGGGTTGCCAACAACATTCTCAAGCTGGGTGGGCGGGGCACATGCCCCCCTTCTTCTACACCATTCCCCTCTTCTCCCCCTCCAAGAAGTGGGACCAGGAAGGACTTTGGAGTAATTGGTTCCGACGATATCATTCTGCTTAGGTGTTTCGGCGACGGTAGTAGGATTCTGATCAAAGGTTTTGTTATCAACCCAAAAACCTGTACAGATTACAGCAGAATTAGTTATGATTAAAAATCACTTGATTTGGTTTTTTTCATTGCCCTGTAGTCTATTCTTAAAAACATAATGTCTGTTCTTTTTTAATTCATTTTAAAAACAAATTATATTTCTAAAAACAAATGATTAACATTAATAAGTAAAGAAAGGAGTAATAAGAACGGTGAAAGTGAAGTTTATTTAGGGGGCAAGGGAGTATTTGATAAAGCATGGGTTAATCACAGTGTTTATTTAAGTACATGGGCCTAGCAATACGGAATGTAAACAAAAGATGATAATGCCTTACCACTGTGCTGAAGAGAACAACGGTAATAGTGCTCGTGATCATAATTGCATGCTCTCGTAACTGAGTGTATCCAGACCTTGTAAACTGCAGAAATTTGTTTAAAATATAAAAATTAAGGAGTCAACGTACTCCAAGAGTGAAGATAAAGATCGTATTTTAATTTTATCCCCACGACCATTAGGTCACTTCCACTTTCCCACTTTTGGTGCGAGACTTTGAATTCTTGACACTTTTAATCTTATCAGTCATTCATGCAGCTGAAAATGACCATAAATCTCACATTCAAGTCAAGTTATGCACTTGTGAAGGCTTTTCCAACGGTGAAGGGAAGGGTGAGTGTACCATTCCTAATTCCTTCCACGAGAGATTTTTCCGCTCATATTAGCCAGATTAACGGCATAATCCACATTCATTTTTCCTTGATATTTAGCCAGATCAATGGTGATTGGAGAAGTTTATTTAGGGCAACAGTGGCAATAATATACACACCGTGTCTGGTCCAATATATGGTGTAGATTTTCTAAGGGTTTGGCGCACATGTTGAGAAAGTGAAACTGGGGTCCAGATTTATTTATGAAGGAAACTAGGAAAGAGAAAATATCAACATGCAATCTTTTCCTTAAAATGAAAGGGGAAGTCCATTGTGAGACATTAAAAAAAAGAGGAAAAGATGAAGATTCTTATGGGAAGAGGGAGTGACACGAGCAATAAAATCAAAAAATGAAAGTTGAGATCAAAAGTGAATGCATCTGAATAGCCGTGGGGACAAGAAATGGAAATTCATTACATAATGGGAAAGCACCAAAAGAAAATAAAGAGAAGCCGAACACCTTACCTGGTTATAAGCAAGAGCCATAGATACAGCACCACGCATAAGCCCAGCCCACCATATAATAAACTATAAAAGGAGAAAAAATATCAGAAGCATATAATAACAACACTAGAAAAATAAGTGGAAGCTGATATTTTATTAAGTGCGTACTTGCTGTCTGATGTCAATCTTTTCACCCGGGGACTTCTTGATCACATTGGATAAAAATGACAATGGAAATACAAAAGCTGCTCTTCCAACCAAAACCAAACCCAAAAGTATTGAGCTAACCTTGATTGATGTTCCAGGGCTGATCCAATTATTGAAAAGTAAGAATGGCACCCAGCAAAAAATCTTAAAACCTTTTTCTATATAGTAATATTTACACTGGAGATGTGTTTTTAAAAAGTACGTTTTGGAATTAGGACTTCGAGAGTTTTGCAAGGCAGCGGGACAAGGGGGTGGGGAGTTAATTTCCATCTTAATGAAAACATGAGGTGATGTCATAACCACTTACGTAGTATATATTACCGATGGAAATAAATCCCACCAGAAGACCCGACCCCGAGAGCTGAATCGGATTAACGATTTGAAAGGAGTAATAAAGTAGAAAGAAAACTTGAGAAGATAACAATGGCGTAGTAATATTATATTTCTGAATTCAAGCACGCCCATTTATAGGTCTACACTCGAGGATACACAAGGAAAGAGATAAGTATGGCAGGTTTGATCTCGGCCCTGGTCCTTCTCCCCAATTGCAGCGCCAGCCTTGAACTCTTCCCACAATCACAGCAACTGTGTGCAATTGACATGATTGCTCCCGGAGAATCAGTCACCCTTGATCGCACGTGCAACCGGCCCATTGCTGACCTGGTCACAGGCCGGTCTGACTCGGCCCACTACAAGGCCCGCCTCTTTCTACTTGGGTGATGTGTGCGCTATAGCGCGAGATTGGGCTGGGCCTACCCCGAAGGCCCAATATCCCATCAACTACCATAAACGGTATATTACTTTTATTTTTATTTAATACTCCTGTTCCAAAATAAATTTCAGTGTTTTGGCTTCACAGATTTTAAGTAAAAAATGGGTGGTGGAAATTTGATTAGAGAGTGAAAGATTGTGAGCCACATATTTCAGTCTTAAATAGGAAAAAGGAGAAGTGTGCCACATATTTCATTCTTAAACAGGAAAAAGGGAAAAGGAAAAAGGAGAAGTGCAAAGTTTATTTTGGGACAATAAAAGAGGAAGGTTTTAAGTATATTTCTGGACAGAGGGAGTAATAGAAGTTGAACCTCACCCCCAAGACCAAACTCCGAAAAATAGCATTAATGATGAAAAAACGCACCTGTCACTTACAAATCTCCATTTTTCAATGTCTAGAGCATCCATGCCAACATAAAGGAATATAAATATCTCAGAAATAAAAGACAGTGTGGCAAAAGCATGCCTGCAAAACAAGTTGAACACAAATACATCAAGGACAGTTATTACTAAGACTATAATCCGCTTCATCTCAGGAAGAGCAAGAAGCAGAAAGAAAGCCATCGATAAATAATTTAAAATTTTAATAGAATGCATACTTGGTGGTTACTCTAGAACTTTCAGTGACATTATGCCAAGTGTAATGCGACATCACAATCCCGCAGAAGAACACAGTCAAGATGGCACTTAAAGCAAATAACTGCAAAAGGTTAAATGTCAGTTTAGCAAAAACAAAAATCCGGTAAAATCTCAACTCAATTGGGGGACTATGTGGTCAAGATGATGTATGTTGCCTTCAAAACAGGAATGACATTTCTCTTAGCCCCTAGATTCATTGTTGCATTTCTTACCCAAAATTTCATTAAAAAATAAGTAGCAAATGAAGTTTAATGTGTCATCTTGATAAATATAAAAGGTGAGTGCAAGAATAAATACCCCCAATATCTCTGGGTCAAATAAGATGTAACTAAAATTGAAAATGATTGGTAAGTTTAGGAGCACTTACTTCAGATAGCATATATGATAAATAAGCCATAAGAATCATAATGGCAACCTCACGATCGGTGGAGTGCCTAAAAATACATCGCATGATTAGCAATGAAGCTATTTTCTCGTCAAAAAGGAAAGATAACAGAATGAATTGGCTCTGGGACATTTCCAGTGATGGGTAGCTGGATATGTTGAAAAAATATTTTTCTTTTAAACCTTATTGACAACAATACTATCATGGGCTTTCTAAAAAAAATCACAAGTTAAATTATTTCCAAACCTTCCAAAGTAAAGCTTCTTAATAACATACGCACTCAGCAAGCCAGCCTACAGGAAAATAAAATCAAATATTTTAACCACATAAATCAATTCTGCAAAATATTTTACGTTTCATAGAATGGGCGAGAAACTCACAACAACTCCGAGGAGAGTGCTCAGAATAAATAAATAAAAAAAGTTCCCAAATAATTGCAGAACCACGGCTGAGTTTATATTGGACAAATCAAAGTCTTGAACTGCATTGAACAGGACTATAGATGTTGCATCATTTACAACACCTTCTCCAAAGACTAAACTGTACAGTAAAGGTGTTTCATCCTGATTGAGTACCTACACAATCAAACAAAGTACATAAGTATAGGTAAAATGTTTAGTGCTCCAACCTTCCACAGGAATAAGAGCAACAAACTTACTTGCAATGTGCACACAGAATCTGTTGCAGAGAAAATGGCTCCAATTGCTGGATACAGACAAACACGATTTGATTAGAAAGAAACAGCAAAGAGTATGTCACCATTAAAAAAAAAGGCTTGTGAAGGAGTTAGGATTACCAAGATAATCTCCTATCTCAAGATTGCCAATATTCATTTTCTTGAAGATGCCAATAGCTCCTGGTAAATACAAAGAGAGGTGCATTACAATTTTATCATAATAGTGAAAAAAATTAATCATATTCTTCAAAACTTGTGCATAAACCTTTACAAATTTATCCTTACATTTCTAAATGATAAACCAACAGAAGATAAACCATACTAAATGGTCATCCTGGCATCTTTTATTTCATTATTTTTAGATTCTACAGAAACACTGATATGGCTATCCCCATATCATGATAAATAATAGTATTGCAAATTAATGGATTCCTTATAGAATAAGCACTGAACAACAATAAGCAGATATGTTGTAAGAGAAGTGTTCCAAGTCATTCTGAATTGCGGAAAGGGTAACAATGCTTACCCAATGATATGATGATGAAAGATATCAAAGTACCAACAGCTCCAAAAAACATAATAGTTGAGATATTACGAAAAAATTGCTTCTTTTTCACCTGGAACCTGGCATGATGTAAACATGCAAACGGAAATTAGTACTTGATAAGCAGTAATTAAGTTAGTAGCCGATTGAAACTTGAAACAAAATCTATTTGATAAATACTGGTTCTTCAAATCATGTAAGCCCATTGAAGAAATAGAACCCTCAACTAATGCTCCAACTAGCAGGCCATCAATGATACCAATAANATAAAAGGTAGTATCACATACACAAAAAAATGGCGTTGGGTCAATGTTTACTTTGAGTGGTCTTCTTGTCACAACCTTCTTACAAAGGAAGTATGACATGACAAAGTTAGTCATGGGAAAACAAAACTTCGAACAAATTGGAATTAGAGATCAATTACGATATATAACACCTCCTGTTCTTGAAGTAAAACCTTTGATTTCATTTCTGAAAAAATACAAAAAGGGAACAAAAGAGTGGACGAGGTAGGTAGGTTTCTAAAATCTCTAACCACTCTTTTCTGCACAATTGGTTGCAGTGGTTGCAATATAGTAGACCATTAAAATTCAATTGTCCTAAAAAAAATTAATCCTGATTACACAGAAAAATGGATGCAATTTTTGGAAGCAATAGAAACACATAAATAAAACTATAGCCAGCATAGCAGTTGAGGATGCATGTCACGAGATAAAATAAATCACATAAAAGATGCAGAACACTATACCCCGCATTAAAAATGATTGGTGGAAGAAGATAGATGAAGAAAAGATCTTCGCTGAACACCAAAATGTGTGAGCTTGTCCCTCCACTAGTAAGTAGAATTACAACGCCAGTACACACCCCCTGCAAAAAACATGAAAATCAAATACACAGTTGACAGAGCAGCAACAGGTACATTTATTATTATAAGAAGCAAGTTTGTGTCTGTCACTGCATGTACAAATGAATACATATAGAAGAAACTCACAATCATGAGAGCTGTAATGGATTCATTCATCCAACGGCTTTCCTCCAAGAGATGGCCAATCACAATACAGGCACAGATAAGAGCTACAAACAAGTTCATGGACACCACGGAGGCATGATCAGAGGTTGTTATCTTTGACAACATTGTCCCAATGTCAACTCCCATATTGACACCTCCTTTTCACAATATTTCCAGCAACTCACGACCTAAATACACAATCTCTCTGTCCTCCAACACCAAATTATAGCGATTTCATGGGGCACCGAGTCCTGTTTTTTCCACAAAATCAGAAATTCACAAAATCGCTACATATATCCACCATGTACATATATCTCCCTAGGAGGAGATTAACCCGCTCAAATCAGATAATCGCATGAAAACTGAATCAAAATTCACGAATGAACGTGCAAAAGACTCACCAGATGAATTCGGCTCAGAGAGAAAAAAAAGCGCTGGAACTCGGCTAGAAAACACACCTCGTCGTTCAACCAGCCAGATCTCAATTTCAGGAAAATAAAAATGAATTTTAGCAATAAATGGACAATCACATGCCGTTTATTGGAAAAAAAAACAATAATATTATTATTAGTAATCATAATAGCAATCACATGGCACAAAAAAGGGGATTTAGCTCCACAAATCACCTCCGCTTCTGAGAAAATCGCGGGGATAGACGAACAAGATGAAATCGTCGAGCTTCGCGCTGCTTTAATTAACCTCCGCAAGTAAGGTTTTAGCAAGAGGGCTCCTCGGAGAGAAAACAATTTCAGAGAGAGAGAGAGAGAGAGAGGAATTTATAGTTTGCGAGGAGGAAGTGGAAGTGGCAAGCACGATCTAGACGGTGTTGTTTAGGAGGCGGGGCCTCTTAGTTATTTCTCCCCACATAATTATTACTACTACTTTTAAATTACTTTATTATTCTTTTGTTCCTCCTTAAGTCAAGTGAATATTTTGGGTTGGTTGTGATTTGGGTTTGGGCTGTCGGGCGTGACATAGTTTGGCAAGTGGTGTCGAGGAGCTCTCCTGTGACTATGATATTGAAACATTATCTTATTCGATGACTCGGGGACGCTTTGGTGTCCCGTTTGTAAAATTGACGGTTTATACCTCCTCTAACTTCTCTAGTAAATCTCTTATCCTCTTCAATTACACTCATAAGTTGATTTTTGATTTTGGAATCAAATTTTGACTACAAAGTCAAAATCAAGTTGTAGATGCAATTAAAAGGGATAGAAGGGTGTGTTCGGGTCAGGATGGAGTGGCGGGTTTAGTGGAAAGTTAAGAGGGATTAGAGCCGTCAATTTTATGAACGCAACATCGGATCACCCCTGAGTCATCCCAAGATGTAATTATGCTACGCACTCCTTCCGTTCCGGTGTATTTGTTCAATTTGAGTTTTTCGAGTCAAATTGGACAAACTTTGAACTTCAATTAAATAAAAACTGTAGTGTATTTTTACATGAAAATGACTTTATTAGATTTATTGTATCAAGAACTTTTAAAATTGTATTTCATTATTCTAATATACAATATAAATTGAGAGTAATTAGATTTCAAAGTTTGTCTAATTTGACTCAAAAAAGACAAACTAGACAAATACACTGGGACAGAGGTAGTATATGACATCTACAAATACTTCTTTCGTCCTAGTGTATTTGTCCAGTTTGACTTTTTCGAGTCAAACTGGACAAACTTTGAGATTCAATTAAATAAAAATCGTAATATATTTTAACATAAAAATGAATTTATTGAATTTATCGTATTGAGAACTTTCAAAATTATATTTCATTATGCTAATATGCAATCTAAATTGAAAGTAATTTGAGTTCAAAGTTTATCCAATTTGACTCGAAAAAGCTAAACTGGACAAGTACACTGGAACGAATGTAGTGTGTGCCAAAGATATGTGTGAAATTAAAAAACGTGATTTATATATTTAAAATAACATAAAAAGTTATTAGAAAATAAGATGTGGGATACTATCTTGTATTATCAAATTATTAAAGAAATAAGTTGTTAAAACTTAGACTCTGGATAATGAAGTGTATCGATTAGTTCGGGTTGAGGGAGCATTCAAAATGAAAGAAATATTTTGGACCTTATATTATTTTCTAAAAAGAGAACAAAATTTTTACTTTTAAGAGCACCATAAATGCTTTTAACGTCCACTGCGTCAAAATGGTGTTTAACGCTAGGGGTGCATACGCGTTGGAACGATTTGGATTTTATATTATCCTGCATTTTGTCCCATTTCTTTCAAATGGTTTGGCACGGTTCAGGCCACAAGCTTATCCCTATTTGTCCATTCATATTCGGAATCGAGATTAAATGAAATGATTTCAGGTTGTCCTATTTTGTTATTGTCCGAAATTATATATAAAAATATAGAATACGTAAGGAGGAAACAATCCACTTTCACTTGCAATATAATGAAAAATCATATACTCCCTCCGTTCCTAAATATTTGCAAAATTTGCTTTTTCAGCAGTCGCAGAAACTTTTGTTTATTTCTACGTTTTCATTAGTTATTTGATAAAATAAAATATATTCTTGACACTTCTTGTTTCGAAGAGCTTTTCATGTATGTAGTTTTTTGATATGTAAATTTTATTTTTTATTTCTATACCAATATGTAAATAAAATGAATTGAAAAAGCTTGATATTTTACCTCGGGAATACAAGTGTGACAAACATTTAGGGATGGGGGGAGTAATTATATAGGATGTCTTAGAAATTAAAGCCAAAACAATAAGACAGCATGAAAAGTGCTACAATATCTGTCAAAAATCAAAATTATAAACTTCATAAAAACTATTAGCCACAAATTAGAGTGGAACCGATCGTAAAGGTTTGGATTTCTAGTTGTTCAAGTCATAGTCTATTCTTTTAGAATAATTAGATCTAGATATTTATTTTATATATCTCTATGAAAACAAAAGTTGTTATACTTCTTTGTGTTATATCGTTAAATAAATAAATAAATAAATAAACATATAATCCATACTAGACAATGGGACAGAATGGGAAAATATTTATGTGTCCTCGTCTCGTCCCATTTTAAAATAGTTCAAAACGGGTTCGGGACAAAATTTTGTTATCCGATCCCAAACAAAATGGGCATTATAAGAACGAGACTGCGATATTTTAGAACATGACAACCGATTCGGGAAGCTTGTTCACCCCTATTTAACGCCATTATTGTGTTAAACACCACCCCCTCCCCTATTATGTAGGCATCACCCACCATGCGTTAAACATTTAACACTGATGAAGAAGACTCAAAAGAGCCATTAGTCCATTACCACCCCCATTTCCCAATGGTCGATATTTAGTCGTTGCCAAATATAAAAAAATAATTAAACTTCAACTATAAATATCCTCTCATATTTTAAAAATATAGGCACACAACATACTTATTTCTCTCATACAATTCTCTATTATTTTTCATATTTCTTTAATTTCTCTCTTATTCTTAAAATATATCATGAATCTCTTCGGTCCTCCATCCAGTCTTGAGCCAAAAGAGTACGCAATATGACCTTGCCAAACGTACGGGAATAATATGACCAAGTGCATTGAAAAAAGTGCACGCTGGAAAAGTCACAAACCTAGCACCGAAAAGCCGATGACTGAGACGGTATAGTCCATTCAAAAATGGACACCAGAGGAAGAAGTGTTGTTGGCCTCTACGTGGGTTGATGTCTCGGAACATCATATCATTGGTATGCATCCAAGGTCATCATAGAAGCAATCTACAATTTAATAATTTTTTATATTTTTTTCAATTAAATGAGGCACAATTAGAGCTGGCAAAACAGTCGGGTCGGGTCGGGTTCGATCACATTGGGTTCAAGTTACTTCGGGTTCGAGTAAGTTCGGGTTTGGGTTGAGAACTACATGTTCATGACCCAATGTCAACGGGTTCGGGTCGACCCAACGGGTTATTACTTTCATTTATTTTTTGAAATTTTAAGTAATTTTTATGATGGATTGTCAATATTATGAATAAAAAACTAAATATGTAGAAAATTTTGAAAAAGTATGATAATTATGCTATATCATTAAAATTTTGTATGAAAATATAAATTTATACATTAAAAACGAGTAGTAAGCAAAAAAAATATAATTAGAATCTTGTTTTTATAATATTATATTAAATATTAAAGCATATAATTTTGAAAAATTCTTACATTAGCGTGTCGATCAAGTCCGGGTTCAAGTTCGGTCGGAGTTGACCTATTTTTAACGGGTAATTTCGAGTTCGGACAACTTCAGATTCGATCACCAAAATCTTTGTCAGGTTATTTTTTGTCAAGTTCATTTTTAATAGGTAATTTCGAGTTGTGGATAAAAAATAAGTCAGGTCATTTTTTGTCATGTCTAGATACAATGAGTTGATATTTCCAACTCCATTTGGGTTCATAATAAATTTGAATTGCCTATTTTTAAAAAAACGTGTCTCGAGAGAGACAACTCATGCACGACCATTGTACAGTACAATAAAGTAGCACCGTATATTAATTATTTCTTCCTCCCAAAAATTATTTTCGTTGTGTTATGATGTTATTTTTGAAGTTATTTTTAATAGTTTTAAATCAAAATAGTATAGAATTATTTGAAAATAAGATTATATATTTAAAACTACATAGAAAAATTTAATTCTACAAACATATAGATCTCATGACTCATGAGTACACATATTACTTTATCATGTGAATTACAAAAATAGGCAAATAAAATGAATATAATTTTTAAAAATTACATAAAAATTTTTATAAAATTAGCTATGACATTGGTATATACATGCATTACTTTTACAAATTGATCGACAACAAAAATAAACTAATAAAGTGAACAAAATTTGATCGTATTAATCATGTGAACGAGAATATAATACTTGAACGGAAGGAGAAATTATCATTATCAATTAATAAAAATAATGTGACCTTAAAAGCTAAAAGAGGAAAAGAGAATTCGAAATTGAAATGATTTTTTCTTCCAAAGAAAAACAAAACAAAAGTTGGATTTTTGTAGAGAGGGCACGGGAGACTTGTCAAAAAATATACGGAGTACTACCTCTATCGAAGTATTTTTGTCCAGTTTAACTTTTTCGGGACAAATTTTAAATTCCAATTATTTTCAATTTATATTGCATATTAGCATAAAATATAGTAATTTTGAAAGTTTTCAATACGATAAATCTAATAAATTCATTTTTATGTTAAAATAATATGTTACGATTTTTGTTTAAATGAAGCTCAAAATTTGTTCAGTTTCGAAAAAAATCAAAGTGAGAGGGAGAGAGTATTGTCTAATTGTATAATAAGCAGATGCCCTTCTCGATGATCGGTAGCCCTTCCTCCACCACACATGTGATAATCGGATAAGTGCTAACTAGCATTGGTTGTGTCACATGTGGCCACCCACTTTTTGTCTTTATTTAGAGTACCTATTTGTCTTTATTAGCTCACTTTCACCCTATTAATTTCTTTCTAATTTTTTTTATTTAGATTGCTTACAATTTATTTTTCATTATTTATTGAGTAAATTTCATAAATAGTCTCCAACTTTAATCAGTTTTTCATATTTAGTTTTCAATAATAAGATATTTCATAAACTGTTCTCAACTTTTAAAACCTATTCTACAAATAGTCTTTTTCACTAAATATAACAAAATATTTTGAGTAAACTCTCAAAATGGATCTTTCTAATTAGGTTTTTTTTCCAAAGTAATCCTCAATAAGCAAGAATTACTAACATTGTTC